CTGGCAGACTTACAGGAACCGTCATCGGCGTACGGAGAGTACGTGATACCCTTACCCTTGACAGCATAAGCGGCAACACCAGTTTCAGTAGAAACAGTGGTGGAGGAATTGTCGGAAGCCTTGATGCTTGAACCAGTTGCTACGACTGAAGTGACTAAAGTTGTTGGAGTAGTAGAACTTAAAACATTTGACATGGAGGAAAAATAAGACAGAGAGGTAAGGCCCATCTCTAATATTTGACTGCTGCCAACGGAAACCTTTACCAATTGAGTCTCGTAAACGGTAACAACAACTGGTCGAGCGTCACGCTTAGCATGAACGTGATTAAGCGGATTGGCTAAAGCAGCCGCTGGTGCCAATAAAAGGATGATATCAGATAGTTTCATTTCAACTGGGGTTTAAGTATTATTGGAAAATGGGTATCGGTTCTAAGGAGTAAGTTATAGAGAAGTGAGCTCGATGCAAGCGGGATATCGAAGCTAAGAGAGAGCGTGGGAGAACAGTTTAGTATCTGACCATATGTCTAATTTCTATTCCAGTTTAGCGGGGGTCCGTCAATTTTTATAGACTTCATTTTCGGCTGTAATTCGAAGAAAAAAATGCTCTCTTTCTAGCGCAGCTCAACTATGTATTATACCGGGAAGGGTTGTCATGGACACACCATTGAAGTTGCAGGGCCTAGAACCAGCATTTGAACTATTTCCCGTTCTAATACTAGGTTTCTCCATGGTGATTTGTATAATACTGCTGTTTCAGTGGAGACGGACCTGCAGCAATACCCGAAACACCGAACAAGGCGCAAAAGCTAGCCCATTAAAGTTCTGAAACAAGGCGCAGCCTGCAGCGAGCTGTCTTCGTGCAGCAAGCCGGAGAGATTCATGCTTGTTTCATGCGTGAAAGTAAAAAGCAAATGCCGGAGACCGAATAGAAAAGTTTTTTTCCTTGTAATGGCATTCACATTTGTTTTGCATCTTGCTGAAACATCATATAGCTCCTGTATGGGAATTATTAAGTGGAATTTTTGTAGACGGGTGGTATGTATACATATTTACCAGAGCCTGAAGATATCGAGCCAGAGTATAGATCTCAGGTTTGCTATAGTTGTCAACAGATCTATAACGAAAAACTCAAACCCCTTACAATTTTGTATCCTCTTTCACTCGATTTGGGTTCATTTGGCTGTTTGAGTGGCGTATAGTATACTTATGTCCTGTCCTCTTTTAAAACTAGCCCAAACGTCCGGAGATATCTGTTGTGTACGTGGCTCTTGGAAAAGACCATTCGTCTATTGTCTAATCAATTGGCAACGTGGCCGAGCGGTTAAGGCGAAAGATTAGAAATCTTTTGGGCTCTGCCCGCGCAGGTTCGAGTCCTGCCGTTGTCGTTATTTTTGTATCATGATGTTTGATCGATATCGATATTTTTATAGATAAATATCATACTATTTATAAAATAAATATATATCTGTCAGTGGAACAGGCATTTAGTATTTGAATAGACGTACTCATATGCATCAAATAAAAATTACATGGAAATATAACCAGTATTTTTATATAAATAATAATGGTTATATTTATTAAAACTATGTGTGATAGTATATGTATATACCCATTCTGCATATTTAACCAATTACTAGAATAAATTCACGTATTATAGAGATATATTCATTATATATATATATTTAACCTAAATTTACCTCAGAATATATGTCTACTGTATATCAATATTTTATATCTAAACACTGTCACTTTTTAACCATAGAGATTTTCTCTCGGGTTGGTCGATCGTGCTTACTAATGACGCGCTTGCACGTGAATTATTTTACTACCGGTAGCGGAAAAATCTGTATGATTAAAAAGTGACAATGTCTAGATATAAACACCGACAAAAGATAGCCGCAATCTGTTCTCACCAGTTTACCTCAAAAATGAATGAAACCGAACTCCTTGCAATCAAGACCACTCACTTGACCTATACCTTTCCTCAGACTGATAAAGTTGGTCTTGCCGACATCAACTTAGACATTCCATGGGGAACATCCAACTTGCTTATTGGTCCAAACGGGGCCGGTAAATCTACACTTTTGAAAATCCTAGCCGGTAAGACTTTAACCAAGGCTGGCTCTGTGTTTGTAAACGGCTCCGATCCTTTCAGAGCTAGCAACGGGAACAATGGCCTTATCCACACAACCTACCTCGGAACGGAATGGGCCTCCAACCCCATTGTGCGGAGAGACATTCCGGTGGTTGTCCTTTTGGCGTCTATCGGGGGTAACGATTACCCCGAAAGAAGAGATTTATTGGTTAAACTCTTGGATATTGACATCACCTGGAGGATGAACAACGTCAGTGACGGTGAGAGGAGAAGAGTCCAGTTGGCCATGGGCTTGCTCCAACCCTGGAAGTTGTTGTTGTTAGACGAGGTTACCGTCGATTTGGATGTCTTGGTGCGTAACGAGTTGTTGAAGTATTTGAAGAGCGAGTGTGTGACTAGAGGCTGCTGTGTAATATACGCCACCCACATCTTTGATGGGTTAGGCAATTGGCCTGATAAAATCATCCACATCTCTGGTGGTGGTAAGTTGGACGATGTGCAGTTGCATGACATTGACTTCAGCGGGGCCTCCACTGTAAGCCAATCGCTTACCGTCACAGATAACAACAATAAGCGGACGTACGAAAATATCTCCATCGACCAAGAAACCGGTAGGATGCAGTTGACCGCAGTACCCTCCTTGCACCCATTGGCATTGTACTGGTTAACCGAAGATATCTTGTCTAGAGGTTTAGACAGAGAGCAAGGTGAGAAGAACCGTCCATCGTGGGATGAATTGAAGGAGAGGATGGAAGGTTTGTTCTACGACGGTGACTCTTCCAGAGTTACCGAGTACTTTAAGAAAACCAGAAAGACTTAGATATGTACTTTCGCGAAAGGTGTACAGGTTTTACGATTAATGAATAGATAATCGCCCAACAGGCATGAAACCGTACCCACAGACTATAGGGTTCCCTAAACATCGAGCAATTATAACCATGTTCATGAAGTTCATTAGACAAAGCGGAAACAATAAAAGTGTAAAAAAAGGACGAAAAGTTACCTAGAAAAGAGCGAAAGCGTTGCATGTCACGGTATACAGCGGGAAGAAAATCAGAGAACATTAATATGCAAGTAAACACCAGGGGCCGGACCTACTCTAAAGTAACAATCATTTCGTTTGCTGGAATAGGCCGTAACCCGTGCTCCAAGGTGTACCCCTCACCTTCATCCAAGCCCTTTAATCTGTCAATAGCAAAAGCCGGGACAAACCTAGAGTTCAACTGCGGGTTGATGGATAACTCGCGTCTATCAAAATCGAACAATTCTGGGACTGGTTTCATGTCTCCAAACTGTGGTTGTGGTTGTGGATTATCTTGATTTGAGGATGGCGACACATGTCTGGATTCAGGATAGGCCAACTGAGCGTTGGATCTCAACTCATCAAAGTATGGGTGGGCCAAAGATTCCACAGCGGTGATTCTCTCCAATGGAGAGTACTTCAAGATGACGTTCAACAAGTCGATGCACTCACTCGAGCACTTCTTGAACACCTTGACTAATGGGATGGCTTTGATCTGTGGGAACTTGTGTTCCATGTAGTTCGGATTCATGGTTCTGATCTCGTCTCTCAGAGGGGTTCCCAAAATCTTGATGATTTCGACAAGTTGGTCAATCCCACTTTCACCAGGAAACAAAGGTTGGCCCAAGATTAATTCGGCCATGACACAACCAGCCAGCCACACGTCAATCTGGGTGGTGTAATTTGTGGCCCCGAAAATCAACTCTGGAGCACGGTAGTAACGAGAGCAAATGTACGAGACATTTGGCTCCAGGGGGTTCAAGATCTTGGCCGAGCCGAAGTCACACAACTTCAAGACGCCAGACTGCGGATCGATCAACAAGTTTTGTGGCTTGATATCTCTGTGGCAGATCCCTTGCAGATGGATGTAGTTCAACGCCCTCAACATCTGGTAGGTGTACAACTTGATTTCAAAGTGCGGTAACGTGGCCTTTCTGGTGACAAAGTACGACGAAGCTCTGTATAATGTCTCCGGAACAAACTCCAAAATCAAGTTCAAATACAACTCATCTTGTTCATTGTTGTTGTAGAAGTAGTATTTCAAATCGACAATGTTTCGGTGGTGCACCAACTTCATGATCTGCAACTCTCTGTTCTTGAAACGTTTGTCTTGGAGCACACGCTTGATGGCGCAGGTTTCATCCAACGGTTGAACTTTGGTTTGGAAGACGACCCCGAAGGAGCCGTGACCGACCATTTGGCATTGTGTGTATGTGATGGTGGAGGACTCGCCATTGTGACCATCTTGGACCTGTTCGGTGATGACTTCTGACATTGGATGTTAGTATAGTTCTGATCGCCGGGTGGAGAGTATGCAATGAATGTAAGGGCGCTGATGAGCCAAAGCTGAAAAAAAAATGGGCCGTGTTGTTCGTCCGTTCGTCCGTAGTCTGTATGGTGCAATAGCTCTTAGTTCCTGTCGTTCCTCATTAAAACAAGACCGATCAGGTTTGTGAGATAGTTGAAAGAATAGCAATCAACCAGTTGCAGCCAGGGTGAGAGACAGAGAGCCAAAAAAAGAAAGCAACAATGCTTTCTCTGAGCAGGTAAGAGGGTCATGCGCGCTATAGTAACAACATACGATCGACACGGACGACAGTGGGAGCGAGCGAAAATCATGGAGATTTCGCGGGCGAGCGAGTGCGAAAAAGTAAATGCAGGATAATAGCGCAGAGGCAACTCCATGGGGAGAGAGTCAGCTGGTGCGTGCACACCAAAGGCCGACACATAAGAGAACGCCCGTAAACTCGTTGCTAATACCCTTCGTGGCTCACATTCATTGTTTGCGGTAGGTTAATAAAGATACGTACTGTTTCTGTTCTTTGGCTGACTCATGTCGCTGATGAACTTGTCTTGGGCCTTTTGCCTCATCTTACGTTCTTGCTCGACGGACTTGATTTTTTTTTTGCCGGGGTCGGAGGACTTAGTGGAGGACTGGTTGACGATTTTCTTGAACAAACTCAACGCAGCGGTGAAGTTTTTTTTCTTACTTGGGGGGTCTAACGATGGGAGCTTGGAAAGTGGTGCTTCGGCTTCGACAGATTTCTCGATGTGCTGGACGGTGATAACAGGTAAGGAGGCCTTGCCGTAGATTGGCAAGTGCTCGAAGAGGGGGAGAAGGCTGGAGGTTTTAGTATCGATGAATTCCTCCGGTTCGTCAGTAGAAGTGTGCGAGATTTCCGATGAGTAGAAAAGGGTAGAGTCGTGAACACCGTCTGTACGTGTGTTGGAGAGAGGGGAGAATTGGGTGGACAGCTTGAAGGGGGTTTTGCAGGAGGCGGCGGCAGTTACGCGCGAGTAAAAGTATTCGCGAACGGAACTGAGCTTTAGGAGAAGGTCAGGGGTGAACTACGGACAACACGGTATTACGCAGTTGGCAAATTCAAAATAAAATGTAGATCGCAATATTTCGAGTTGCAAGGGCCAGTGGATGCAGTTATAGAGAAAGTGCGCCAGATGGAGATTAACGTGTGTACTTTAGCAAGTAAACTAGATTTCTGGGCGTGGTTTTACAGATCCTAGATAGCGCGCTGGTGAAATGGGGACTAGAGAGTTTAAGTACAGACAGCTAGAATGTCCAAACTATGGCCAAAGTTTTTTTTTTTGACATGCCCCCCCACTAGATGGCTAGCGTCCTGCACTTGGCGGTGACCATTAAGCTAGTCACTCTGCATATACGGCTTAAGGTTTCCTTTCTATATGATACGGAATGCACGCGCTTCTCTGCGGGCGGGGTCGTAAAATGAGCCTAATACGGGGAAACTCAGGTTATTTGGCAGAAACCCTTCATAGGCATCAGAAGTGTAGCTCGTGAGCTCCATTTATCAACAGCCATTTTTATATAGCGCTTATCTCCAGAAAATTTGAAAGAGTCTCATAGGATGTTAAATCCTAAAGTTCCCGCTAGTGTATTCCTGGATGTCCTGCACGAGCTATGGTTGATGAGGATACGTGAACTCCATGGAGTAGATGCGGGGTCGTGATCCGTGACGCTCCGTTTCTTTTTCGAGATTACACGTTCGTTGCTACCCTGGCTCAAACACATGGCTTATCCGACACACTGCACACAGACGTGGGACAAGCTTTGCGATTCGAGATAGACAGAATGTTTTATAGGGGTCCTAGGATATACATGTCATATCATCTATTAGCATGAAAAGATAACATTATAGACTCTCTAATCTGAATGTGTGTAGCCTTCGCGAACTTGGGTATATATCCAAAAAATAATATAACCACGAAGTGCTATTGAATAGAATAACGATGGCAAGAACGAATGCCAAATTGAACAAAAACATTGATATATTACACCAGAGGGAAGACTGGGCCCTTTCAGGAAATTCCGAATGGCTAGGAGTGTGGGCTGGATGGTGATGATTCTCTTTCTAGTTCTAGCTTTTGTGTGATTGAGGCAAGAGCAATGCAGGCTAGAAATCGCTTACTCAGTTTGTTTTCTTACAGATGGCGACAAGGTGAATACATACGTGCTAGATCACCGGTTGAAAATGCGTAGGCTACGGTAGTGGATATTCACGGAGGGGCTTTGGATGAAACTTTGCTCGTAAAAGCTGCAACTTTGGTTGTGGCGCTTGGTGTGGGGTACATATGGAACACTTTGATAGCCTAAGCCTGAACAAAGTCGTTGGACTATTCATACCCCCCAAATCTTTTATTCTATTGATTGGCACTAATAAAAATGAACCGATTTCTCATAGCCCCGCAGTTTCTTTAAAGATAATACATCACAAACTAAGCTTATTTCGAAAAACGGAAACAAGTCCCAGAGTGGACACGCATAATTCATATCAGTTTACTGACTTTACGAGAGATTCTAATAGGAGTATAGCGAGGTTTTTCGCTTTAGTAAAAGCAGACAGCGTAGAACTACTAATGATTGTGTGGAGAGTCTATATGTGCTGGGCAAGACTCAAATGCAACCAGGTTACGCTATGACAAAGAATACCAAGGTGCCTTTCTCAATGAATGAACAGTTATATAGCGCCGGTGTACAGGGTTATGTTACAATTCCCAACGAATTATCAGGCTTAAAAGGTAGCCTTTGTAGATCGTATCTCTGGGAAATCTAAAGCAAATAGTTTTATCACAGATTTTTTTATAGCTCTCTCCGATTACTTGCTCACGGAGGTATCCCAATGTCTTCATGAACTTGTTAAAGGATTGCCTATCCGATACGCGGGAAAAACCCTTGATATGGACCATTCATATGGCCATCACCAGTATTTCACTCGAAACATACCGTCTATATCCCCTCTCACTGAGGAACACTACCCCATGCTACCACCATCCATATTTTTAAACTAATCTTAAATGTGCATTAGCGCTTTATCTTTCAGGAATCTCAAGTGCCGTTCTATAAGTATGGAACACTCTATAGTTTAGTCATCACCGTGGTCTGAGTATGCATCTTGGCTTTAAGGTTGAGCCAAACTTCAGTCAATAATCAACTGGGTATTTTCTGTAACAGCTTTCCTATCCTTAGTTCCCCATCTCTTCTCTAATTCTCTATATCTCTTTTCTATTTCTCCACGTCTCTTTCTCCATTTCATTTTTCCGCCCCCAATTTCCTCCCTCTATCGGGCTTTGTCATTCAATTAGGGGCTTCAATGCCTCGCACAACATGTCCCCCGCGTCGCCCTGAAAAAACCAGTCGCCTTCGCTCACAGTTTCAACATTAAAGACCGCCACTTTCCCGCCCTGGAGCTTGACGCGTTCGACATAGCCAACGCCGGGCCAGACGGCACCGGACGTGCCGATAACCAAAATCAAGTCCACCTTAGCACTCGTCATGAAACGGTCGACCGTATCTATGGCCTTGAAGAGCAACGACTCCCCGAACCACACAACGCCTGGGCGCAACAAGCCCTCGTGGCACTCGGGGCAGTGAGGAAGCTGTGCCTCCTCGAGCTGCTGCACTGGCTGAAATACGGGCGAGAGAAGCGTGGGGATAGCCTCCGCTGTCGGTGTCTTATCGACAGAAGCCTCTCCTGAAAGCTTTCGCTTGCGGCTAGGCGGCGTTTCCACATCGTTGTCGCGCAACGCGGGGGTCAACGGATGGACATAGTTACAGTCTTCACGGTACGTGCACATGAAAGAGGTACACCGCAAGGTGAAGAGTGACCCATGGAGTTCCACCAAGTGGTCGGCTGGATGGCTCGCGCGCTGGTGCAAGCCATCCACGTTCTGGGTCAAGGTTAGGAACCGGAACCTGGGGTCCTCTGGCCCCTGGGACGCCCTAGGGCTGTCGTTGGGCGTGGCACCGCGGCTGGAATGCTTGAAAAAAGGGTTCAGGTGGTTAGAGAAAATGGGGGCAGACCTCTGTGCTAGCTTCGCTAGAGCGCGGTGGCCGTTATTGGGAACAGCCTCCAACGCCTGATACCGCTTGTGGGTGTAGAATTGCCACACCAAGCCTGGATCGATCTGGAACGCCTCTGGGGTCGCCAAATCGATCATCTGGAAGTTTTTCCACTTTTCATTTGACGCACGGTGCGTCGGGAGGCCCGACTTGACCGATAGACCGGCGCCAACTGCGGGGTTAGTATCGAGTAGAGCTGAGGCGAGAGATAGGCGTACCTAGCGCAACGATATTCTTGCACGTTCGGAGGTATTCATGGAACGAGTCTATATCGGTGAGCATGGGGGTTGTATAGTGTATGAATATGGTATCTAAGCAGATCTGATCAGAGGAGGTAATGATGTGAAAGTGCAAAATAGCTGCTATAACGTAGGTATCGATAGTGGCCCTGTAATCATTGCGCCAAGTTATATACAGGCTGGACGTGCGCCGCCAAATCCTACGCGCGGGCTTTTGCAAACTGAAAACAAATCGTGCGAATTAGCCGCTCCGAACCGCGTTTTCTTCCATCTTGTAACACATCCGTGGTAGACGATAAATCAGCTGGAAATCCATAATTGTTTCACAATTATACGCATTTATATCTTGTCACCGGTTTCAATTGCTCAAAACTTTTATCTCCGACTTTGCTCACGTTTCACACCATTTCACGTTTGCTCATGCCATTTAGATTCAACCAGCAAGTGGTGGCCGAGCGGTTGAGACCGCTCTTCGAGAAGCTCTACGAGATGACTGACTCTGCAGACGGCCACGCGGTGTCGGATGCGTTCCATAAGTTGCCGCCGCGCCTGTTGACGGAGTACTACAAGGTGATCAGGAAGCCGCAGTCGCTCCACCTCATCCGCGTCAACTTGAACAACAAGCGGTACCTCAACCCACAGGGCTTTGTTAACGAGTTGGCACAGATTACGTGGAACGCACGTTTCTTTAACGAGAAGGACTCGTGGATCTACTCTGACGCCGAGGTCATCGACGACTACCTCCGCAACGAGGTGATTCCCACGATCAACAGCGACCCGCAGCTCAACCACGACGGCGCATACCAGGTCTTCTACCCGGACTTAGGTCCGTTGGACGACGTGGCAGGGTACGAGGAACCTGAGTACGAGGCTGAGGATGTCGACAATAACTCTGAGTACGAGGAGGAGTACGTTGCGCCGAGCGCGACTGTTAGCGCGGTCGCGGGCACGCCGCTTTCCACACGCGACTCCACGCCTGCGCCATACGGGGCTGCCACATTCCCCAAGAATACCAACTTCGATGCGTGGGTCAAGCGCGGCCGTCCGCCGGTCATCGACCGCCCACACGAACAGCGCATCAAGAACGTGTTGCGCAACTTGAAGAAGGTCAAGGCCGCGTCCGGGCGCGATCTCTATCTCACGTTCGACCGCCTTCCGTCGCGCGAGGACTTTCCAGAGTACTACGCGGCCGTTAACATGCCCACCTCGTTCGACACTATCAAGATGAAGATCAGACAGCGCAAGTATGCGGACGTGGATGCATTTGTGCGGGACTTGCAGCTTATTGTGGCCAATGCCACATTCTTCTATGACCCGCAGAACCCGGTGTACCAAGATGCGGTGCGCTTGGACTCCAACTTCCAGGAGATTTTGGCGGCCGAGATGGCCAAGCCGGACTCTGCGTACATGGATCCACAGCAGGGAATGCGCATCCCTTTGGACCTGTTGGACGTGGATGGTCAGACGTACCAGATCGGTGACTGGGTGTTGCTCAACAACCCGAACGACGTGACAAAACCCACCGTCGGCCAGGTGTTCCGCTTGTGGCAGACACAAGACGGCAAGCGCTGGGTCAACGTGTGTTGGTACTACCGTCCCGAGCAGACGGTGCATCGCTTCGACCGACTCTTCTATGAGAACGAGGTGTTCAAGACAGGCCAGTACCGTGACCACCTCGCGGAGGAGATTCGCGGGCACTGTTATGTGGCGTTCTTCACGCGCTTCCAGCGCGGGGACCCCGCGTTCCAACTTGCGGGGCCGTTGTTCATCTGTGAGTTCCGCTTTAATGACTCCAACAAGGAGTTCAACAAAATCCGCACGTGGAAGGCGTGCCTCCCGGACGAGGTGCGCCACGTAGAGGACCCCATCGTGCCGTTGCCAGGCGGCTTGCGCAAGATGCCTAAGTTCGACTCACCGCTCAAGCACTTGTTGCCTGCCACTGCCACCGAGGATATGCCCATGCCCGAGCCGGTCATCGGGTATCCTAATGCTCCGCCAGTCATTGGTGGCGTTTACTTGAGACCGCCGTTCACCGGTGATGACACCTTAGGCGAGTACTCGTCGTCTGCCAAGGCGAAGGAGAAGCAGCGTTTGAACTCGCCTAGCGTCGGCCTGCCGCTTGGGCCATACAAGACTGGGCCCTTGATCACCAACGCTAGTGTCGCCAACAGTGCCATGAACGGCTTGGCCGCCATCTCCCCGGGCATGAAACGCACGCCCGTGAAGGCTCCGGCGCCTTATGGGCTCGCCTCACCGCTGTACAAGACGAATCTGTCCATACACCATGCCACCACCGCTTATACTATGCCGTCTCTGACAAATGCCTACACGTTGCCAGCCGTCCAGGACACGTTAACGGGGCTTTTGGGCGACGTGCGCGTGATGGATGCGGTTAACAGCCACCGCCGGGTTATGGGCGCTATGTTCGACACCAGTTCCGCGCCCTCACTGATCTGGCTCCGCGGCCCGCCCGTCAAGGTGGCTGCACGCGTCCACACCCACCACAACGACGTGTTTGAGAACTGTTTTGTTAACAGGGTTGCGAAGCAGGGTGTCAGTGTGGCTGCTGGAGAGGAAGCGAACGATGAGCGCATGAAGAGACGGTCACAGGACAGGGAGCACGACGAGTATGTGGAGGCACCGGGAGCTGGGTTTGCCGACGGGGTGGGGTTAGGACACAGTGCGAAGTACTTGGCGTATGTGATTAAGCGGAGAAAGGCTGCGAGTGCGAGAGTGAGTGCGTAGCATGAACTCGAGAGATGTCAAACATGTAATAATAGTGAAGGGGATCCCAAGTAGAGATCTCAGTATCTTAAACTGCTTGAGTAAAGCCATAATCAGTGAATTGAAGCTGGTGAGATCGCGATGCAAGTACGTAGTTCGAGTGCAGACAGAAATGGTATGGAACCACGGGTATCGTAAAGACAGCAATGCCGATGCATAAGTCATGGATATAAATGAGAGCGGCAATACCTTGATTTCTGGAGTTTATACATGCAGCTTATATAATAAATACAAGATCCGTATTGGGATCGGAGCTAATTCATAAGAGGAGTGAAGTAAGAGTTAAAGGCGGAGTAGATTGGGTCTTATCTCTGATTTGTACCTGAACATACCCCGACACGACACACTTTCAACGGTTTCATCTACATGCTTTTTTCCTAATTCATACTTTCAATAAACCACCACTGAGTTACTCAATCAGTAGAAATATCTAGAGACAAGAAAAAAAGGGTGGATTATGGAGATAAAGACAAGATCGCCGATCGTTCTCGCAGGGAACATGCTCTTTTCCGTTACCGGCGATATCGATTTAGCTATGGGATCCTGGATAATAACTGGAGAGCCATTTAAGCGACTTACCTTATCAGATCTGTGGCTCTAGTTAAAGGTCTTAGGCCAGCTCTTGTTATCACCGAAGGTAGCGGTCTAAGTTTGTCAGGGAGGAGTTATTTTGACACACCGACTTGAGTATACGACGCTTCCGAGGGTGAATTACAGACCGCCACAAAGGCTTGGGACGCAGTATAGCATATTGTGCATGCTCAATTGGCCCTTGCTTTATTTTATTTTATTCAAGGCGAATAAAATCCGGCTATATTATGAGAATTAATCACAGTATATGACGCAGCCCCGTACAATGTGCAACGCGTTGAATGGATTCGTGCCAAAACCTACATTGATATGGGGATGTCAAACTATACTATATCTACACAAGTCTTCGAGTTCTAAGAAAACTTGCACTTAACACACGATACGACTTCTACGCGCAGTAGATGGATACTAAGTTGTGTATAAAATTAAACAACTAAAAGAAATTTTGGTATATACTATATAGTTAAAAATCTTTAAGAAGTTTAAGCTTCCTGGTCTTGCAAGAAGAAAGTTGGGAACTCCTTCATGTTGTATTCCAAGTTACCCTTCTTAGACAAGAACTTAACGAAAGCACCGTCATCCTTGACTTCACCAGCGTTTCTCTTGACAACGTAGTCATCTCTGTCCAAGTTGGTGAAACCCCACTTCTTGGAAAGAATGATTCTCTGCTGACCTGGGAACTTGTATCTGGCTCTTCTAAGACCTTCAATACAGACAGCCTTGTTGGAATCCTTGGTTCTGACAGACATGATGATTTGACCAATGTTGACACGAGCGGCCAAACCGTGTGGCTTACCCCAAGCACCTCTCATACCCTGTTGCAATCTATCGGCACCGGCACAAGACAACATCTTGTTGATTCTCAAGACGTGGAACGGGTGGACTCTGACTCTCAAGTGGAAAGCGTCACGACCAGAAACCTTGGTCATGTACTTGTTGGCACAAATACGGGCAGCTTCCAAAGCTTCAGAGGACAACTGTTCCAACTCGTTGGAGACCAAGTGGATACACAATGGGAAATCGTCGACAGACGCCTTCTTTCTACCTAAATCATAAATTCTGATCTTGGAGTCTGGGACACCTCTGTTGTATCTGGACTTTGGGAAAGGTTTGTTCTTACAGTATCTGTAACAACGAGCAGGTCTTCTAGCCATTTTGGAGTAATGTATAGATTGGTCTAACGAGGAGTCAGAAAACAGGAGGGAGCTATTAAACGCTTTATACCAAAAACTGTTTTGTACAATGCGCACTATGCCACACCGCTGAGTAATTCTCACTTGCCGCCCTCACTAGGCAGAATTTGTCAGCCAGTGTGGGTGTGACCCACCTTGGGCTTTCTCGCCACCACGAGAGTGAAAATTTTCCGAAGCCTCTGTGCCGGAATGCATAGGGTGGCGAGAAACAAACATTCTAGGGCAGAGAAAGACGTGTGTAGACCAGTTTCACGCTGAATGCAGTAATCGTGTGACTGCTTTTTCTTGCGAGACCAGTTTTTTCACACCAGGGTGTGGAGCATCGCTCTGTATATAGCATCACGTGCTCAATTGTCGAAAACCTAAAGATCACGCAAGCATTAAGGTTGGGGTCTACATCTGGGTGGCAAATATTACTACCGCGCCACGCTTATCCTGGTTTGGCATTTTATGGCGAGGCAAATGCTTTCCCCACACGAGGCGCGTGCACACCCATATCGGGATATATGTGGCTGATGCTCATCTCATCACGTGGGATTATTATGCAGGAGTTGAAATTTTCGAATTTTTTTTTACTTTTTCCAGGAGAATTTTAATACATGTAAATCGATCCCCTTAGATAAGAGGTTTGGAGGCTAGCCATAATACGCGATAAACATGGGGAGATATAGTGTTAAGAGATACAAGACCAAGAGAAGAACCAGAGACTTGGACAGCATCTTCTACGAGGATCTTGCCAGTGCTGAGCGCCGTGACGAATTGTTGAACAAGCAACCATTGGACGAGACCAAGCCTGGTTTGGGCCAGCATTACTGCATCGAATGTGCAAAGTACTTTGAAAACAAGGTTGCCATCAAGACTCACTTGAAGGGTGGTATCCATAAGAGAAGAGTCAAGGACTTGAACGCTAGACCTTATACTCCATTGGAATCCCTCGCTGCCTCCGGTACCAACATGGAGTTGTTTGCCCAAAGCGTCGAGAAGTATAAGATGCTCGATGCTCAGAGAAAGATCGACATGGCGAAGGAAGCCGAGTTGGTCAAGCAGCAAGAAGAGGCCGAAGAAGCTGCTAAGAAGGAATTGGAAGCCGTTGAAGCCGCCGAAATTGCTTCTGCTAGAGCTGCCAAGAAGGCTGTCAATGCGCCAGCCGAAGAAGTCGATGAAGATGACAACTTAGAAGATGCCAAGATGGACGACGAAGTTGTTATGGCTTAAATCCCCAACACCCACTCCACGTTCCCAGTATCCTCCCTTGCTTTCATATAGACCAGATTATGGCACCACATCACTGTATATTACTATTCTCACAAAAAGTGAATCCTCCTTAAATAAACTACGACGTTAACACTCTATAGACCAAGGCTATGCCTATAAGTATCACGTATGAGCTGCATATCGTACTTCACAAATATATAGCCCTATTGACTTACATGAAATTCACATAAAAAGAGGAGAGGCTGGTCCTCCCTATGTCTTATATACACTATATAGTCAACCTATATACTGCTAAAGTAGTTATCTTACCTATTAAGTAGAGACATGCCACAGATAGTCACCCTTAGATTTAGGTTAAGTCAGAGCTGATGATACAGGCCTATAAATATTATCATATCAATACGCATGCGGTATACAACAGCTTCCATAAAACACCACGATAAGAGCACGAATCTTAGGAATTAGATCATTGAAGCTCCAGAGTAATATTTAACCGGATAATAACCTTCCAATACCTCCATCTACGTCAAATATTCATTAACCTACACATCACCTTCTCTATAGACAAACTATTTTGTGAGAGAATATATATATATATATATATATACAAACACTACTCGACAGGCCACCAGGCAGGAACCTCAAACTCAACTCTAACCTCCGCACCATTCTCCAAATCACATCTGTAGACCTTAGTTTTGGCAATCTGGTCCAAACTCATTAAGGCAAAACACCTGGCGCCGTCAACCGCCACAATCTTGCCGCCAGAGCGGCGTCTGCGTTTGGTAGGATTAGATACCCCAAACGGACTTGCAAAGGGTGAAGACACCAGGTCCAGCTCTACCGTGATCGGGGAATCGTAGATAGGGCTCAACTCACAGCCGATCAAACTGGAAGGGGCTTCCCCGGTGATCATTATGGAACCAGGGACACATCTTTTTCTAATTACCCCAGCAGTGTACGTTCTGATGGTTAACTCCTGGCCGACATAGCAGCCTTTATCGAGCGACATGCCCATAGTATAGTCCAAGTTCAAGTCAAACGGCAAGAAATTAACCCCTGCAAGTGCCGGATCGCCAGTGTTGAGCACGTCAGCGGATTCAATCACCCCATTGGCAAACCGCCGGGTTCTAAGGACCGCTTCGTCCACAATATGCGGGGACTCCTCAATGGTGAGAAGCCGTGACGCCGCGATAACCGCGTCCGCATCGCCCGCATCGTCCACCAAAAACTTGACTCCGAAGCCCGGGACACGGCCATCAATGGCAAAGCCCACGACGGGCGCATCACTCTGGAAGAGAATCTCCGATTGCATAAACACGGTGGCGTTCTCTAGGGCCTGCCCTGGCGACTTTGTCAGCGAAAAGAGCACCGTCTTGAAGTTCTCCACGAACTGGGAGAATTCTGGCGAATCGTTGTAATAGTAATATGATGACAAGCGAGGCTGAGACGTGATAATAACCTGCGACTTGAGTTTGTGCATCTTGAGCATCATCATCATCTTGCGTGCGTTCGCGGTATCAACCTCGAGAAGGTACGCAGCCAGGTCCTCGCTCTGCGCCTCTGAGACTGTGAATGGTGTGGGGTAGAGGAACACATCGCCAAAAACACGCCCCTTGGAGTTCAATATCATGGAGAAGATCCCATCGCGCAGTACGCTGAGACGCTCTGAATCGGTGGCCGCCCCGCTGAAGATGTCCTCGTGCATGATCCCCCAGTTGCGCGACACATCGATCGCATGGATATCCGCATCATCGCCCGTCGCGGGTTCTGTAACGGTATGCTCGTTCTTCTTTGTGAGCGTGGGCATGAGCCGTGACGTGATGAGTCCGTTGAGGAACTTGGTGGCGTCAGTGCCAGCGACCTGGATGAGCGACTTGGAGAGTCTGGAAACGCCGCTGGCGGGCGCGCTGTTGAAGCGTGCACCAAGCGCCGAAAGGCTCACTGTCCGTACCGTGGCTATTGATCGTGTGATTGAGAGTAGCATAGGAAGGAGGCTAAGGTGGCCAGCAAATGACTAATTATGTAGCATTTGTAATCCACGGTTTGTGGCTCGCTTACACGCATCTGACCGGGTTTGTAGTGAGGCGCTCGGTGCAGGAGGAAGATTTCAGAGAGCCCCACGAAGAAGCAACTAGAAGACTGTAATAACAAGAAGCAGTACTGTGAGATACTCGAAGGAAAGTATAAACTAAACTAGTTGCTTAGACGGTGATTTTGGAGCTGGAGACTAATAGTCTTCATCTCTGTATGGACATTCCAGCGTTGATAGAAACGTCATCTATTGGTAGTGTGTCTACCAGTGAAAACCAAGCACGAAGGCGTATAATTTTAGTAGGGAGACATTGCTGAAAGCTCACAAACGTGCAAAACGTTTATTTCAACACCCCCCCAACGGAACCCACTCGATACATATCCGATAAGTGTCCACTAATTACTAATTACATCAACAAAGCATTATGTTACCTCCACAATCAGATTCCTTCATATCCGACGAAGAAGAGGACTACTGGTATGTACTTTGATCCATCGAGCGCTGTGTTTGAAAGGACGAGGGCACCGATGCTGCGACTCTCTCTGCCACGTGTCTGGTCCTACAACTGGCGTATGCGAATATTCCCTTCTCTATGACCCCATACTAACCTCTAGTCCTCTTTGCGTTGAAGAGTTGGACATTTCCGACAAAAACTTCAAGCCATGCCCGTGCGGGTACCAAATCTGTCAGTTCTGCTACAATAATATCCGTCAGAATCCTGAGCTCAACGGAAAGTGCCCTGCGTGCAGACGCACGTATGACGATGAGAGCGTGGAATACAGACAGATCTCGACCGAGGAGTACAAGCTGTTCCAGTCCAAGAAGGAGCGCAAGGACCGTGAACGCAAGGAGCGCGAAAAGGCCAAGAAGGAGAACGAACAGTTGTCGCGCAAGCACCTCTCGGGAATGCGTGTGATTCAGAAGAACCTCGTGTACGTGGTAGGGCTCAACCCGCCAGTGAACTCGGACGAGTTGCACAACGTGCTCCGCCTGGAGCGCTACTTCGGGCAATACGGCAAGATCTTGAAGATCGTGGTGAATAAGCGCACGCCCAACCCTACGTCGCACCACATAACCGGCACGGGGCTCGGTTTTGGCGTGTACGTGACTTTTGCGCGTAAGGAGGACGCTGCACGCTGCATCAATGCGGTCGATGGCTCACTCCTCGATGGACGTACTTTGAAGGCGGCGTACGGGACCACCAAGTACTGCCTGCTGTACCTCCGCGGGCAGGCGTGCCCCAACCCGAACTGCATGTTCTTGCACGAGCCGGGCGAGGAGGCGGACCTGTACACGCGCCAGGACTTGTCGACGCGCGCGGGCATCAAGATGGGCAGTGCAATGATCAACGGTCGCGAGATCGAGATCATGGAAGGCGGTTTCATCCTCGAGTCGACGCCTCTCAACGTCAATGCCGCATTCAATACGCCGATTTCGCATGTCAATGCGCACACTCCGCTCAGTGAAATTACGTTGCCGCTGACGGCCGCGTGGGCGTCCAAGAGCGCCGCGACGCCACTTGCAGGCTCGCCTGCAATCTCTAACACGCCGTTGGCCAATGAATCGGCCTTCCCGACGTTGGCCGAGATGCAGCAACAGCAGGCGCCTGCTGAAAAGCGCAAGAAAGAAAAGTCGCCGGGCGTAGGCACGGACGCGGACGGCGGTGTGTCGCCGTACTTTGCAACGGACGACGATGCGCAGTTCGCGTCTCAGTTTGTGCGTGCAGGTGCGAACTTGGTAGAGAACTACAACAAGCTTAACTACGCTGTCCGGGATGTGGATGACAGGTTGGCTGACTTTCCGCCGTTGTTTGCGTTCAACGTGGATGTTACCGCCCACTGCAAGTGCGACAGCTCTATTATCAACAAGTTGGTCGAGACGTTGTTGTTCCGTCCTTACAAGGCACTCAACGGCGGCTTCGTGGCGCCCGTTGCGCCGCAGGCGCCACCGCCACCACACGTGCAGCAAATGATGCAGCAGCAGCAGATACCGCAACAGACGAATGCGAACGCGTTGAACAAGCTCTTGCACCAGCCTGCGTCGGCCGCTGGTACGCCGACGGTGCAACACCTCAGCATGTTTAATAAGATGAGAGATACTGCGACGCCGCCGCCGCCCGGTTTGTTTGCGGGCCAGTCACAGGCATATATGCAGCAGATGCAACAGTTCCAGAAGCCGCCTCCGGCGGGCGTGGATGTGGGTGCCAACTCCAGTGAGTTGTTGAGCCAGTTGATGAATGGGAAGAAAATCGGGGCCTAGGAGCAGCGAGCAGTAAGTGCGAAGTATGTCTAAAGCATTGTAAATTGAGATGCATATAAGGAAACTTTGGATGTCTTGCAGAGAGTGTAGGGTGGCAAGTAGTAAACGGGGCATGTCTTGAACAGTATAGGTTGAGATGCATAAAAGTTTAGATATTTTGTAGAGGGCCGGTTGGGATAAATGATGGAATGCCTTGTGGATTGAGATTTATCAGCATGTTAAACTACAGAAGGTTAAACAAGGAGTTGGGATAGGCTGAAATGTTTGAAAACTTCCATCATTTATTTTATTGGCCTTGAAGTTTATCATTGGAGGATGAGGAAGAGTTTATGGCCTGTCACCACTTTATACTCTCGATTCCAGTTTGAGAATCCTGCATGGAGATGAAAAAATATGCAGCTTATATACAACCCTGACCCGATTCGTTCTCTATCTGCTATACCCACTACACATCCACAATGCCTGAAGACACATCGAGGCTCAACACCTCCAAGTTGGGTACCAAACAGTATTGGGATGACTTCTATAAACTCGAAAACTCCAACTTCCAGGAGAACCCACAGGACACGGGTGAGGAGTGGTTTGACGATTCTGATGCCGCCGAGAAGATGTGCGAGTTTTTGATGGACAACTTGTCCGAGGTCCCTTCTTTGAATCAGGAGTCGTACATGTGTGACATGGGTACTGGTAATGGGCGCTTGTTGTTCCAGTTGAGGGAGGAGGGGTTCCAAGGCAAAATGGTAGGGGTGGACTACTCCGAGCACTCGGTGAGGTTTGCGCGGGACATTGCGGAGGAAAACGAGGTAGAGGGAATTTCCTTCGAACGAGTCGACATTTTGACCGATAACGAGTGGCTTTCCGAGGAAAGAAACACCTACGATGTCGTTTTGGACAAGGGTACCTTGGACGCCATTGCTCTCAGCGACGACACTTACGGCGAGAGACAGCAGACCGGCCCGCAGGTGTATCCACATTCCATCGGAAAGCTTTTGAAGAAAGGCGGTATCTTCTTGATCACCAGCTGCAATTTCACCGAGGCTGAGTTGGTCAAGATAATTGAATCGTGTGAGGACTTGAAGGTGTGGAAGAAGATCGAGTATCCTGTATTTGAGTTCGGCGGGATCAAAGGTTCTACCATCTGTTCCATTGCCTTTATTAAGAGCTAGATATGTACTATAGAATAATAATGAAACATGAACCAGGTTGTGCTGAGAAGAAAATGTAGTTGTTTACAAGGATGTACCGTCCATGCTGAGAAGTTTGGGAACAAAGGGTACATTTTATCGCTTTAATCAGAGAGTCCCAGACAGGACAAACACACTTTAGCATTTGGAATTAAAGGTTATATGAGTATTTTCTCGCAGATGTGGAATCATAATTAATATCACCGTATAGCCACACTCATTCTGTTTTCTTTTTGCTCTATTTTAGAGTAATCTTTCTGCGTTTCGTGCCCTTTCCAGTACGTAGCTAGTCTGGTATAGACAAATTCTTAGCTGAAAAGTTTAACCTCAGTCGAATCAACGGCTAAACCTTGAGATACCATTAGAACGAGAATTCTTTCAACGCCATAAACAGAAAACTCCAATTCGTTCGCATTGTATAGGCTGACCACGGCCCGAGGTAAAACGAGTTACATAAGTTCTAGCGGTTAATATTTCTATTTTAATACGATGAATCCAATGAAGCACACAAAAACTGCGAGCCCCAACTGACAAGGGTTCCACCTCTTGTCTAAGATTTTTTACCTCCTCTGGGAATGATTCCTTTTGACCTGACATCCCATACCTAACCTTAGTACATGGACCGGTCGAATCGGGTAGTCCGATCCTCCTTTTTATCCCTGGCTGGCTCACGTTCCCTGCGCTCGGGCACGCGCGCGTCTCTGTCGCGGAAGTCTCTGCTATCGCGCGATTCGTATTTATACGGCGCCTCGGTTTTGACATCCTTGTACTTTTCATACACGCCGTACTTCCCGCCGTAACGCGGGTCTCTCTCTGGCCTTTCGTTGCTGGCCTGTCTCTCGTATGGTCTGCGCTCGGTAGGGCCCAGCCGCAGGCTATAGGCTGGCCGGGTACCAAATCTGGGTGCGGTCCTTGTTTGATGCACGCTGCGCGGTCCGCTGGGCCCACCAAAGGTATTGGTTCTGCCTCCCCAAACCCTCGTCTTGGTGTAGTGTCTACCGCCTAAACCACCACCCAAGCGGCGTGGCTGCCAGTGCTTGATGGTTCTTCCCCTCTCAATATCGGTGACAAGCTCACGCTCGTTAATTTTCATGCCGTTGGACTCCTTGTATGCATTGCGGCAGTCGTACTCGGAGTTGAAAATGAGAAACGCGTAGCCTCGCGATTTTCCGCGCTGGTCGCGCACGATGCGCACCCTTTCGATGGGCCCAAACCCAGCAAATTTCTTCTGGAGCTCCAACTCGGTTACCTCGTAGTCCAAGCGGCCCACAAATAGGGTTTTGAACGGGTCGCCCTGGATCTGGGGGTCCTCGGACGGGTTCCACCGCGCAAGATCACTTGCGACCTTCGCTTGCTGTACGCGCTGGCGCTCCCTGCGCTCGCGCTGCTGCTTCTGAATGGGTCCCTCCGTCGGTGTGTACTGTATTTCGCTGTCGTAGGATTTGAGCTGTGCGAGATACCCGCTGAGGCCCGACACGGCCGGCGTGCTCCGTTCCTTAGGTGCAATGTCGATGTGCTCCAAATACTTCAAGCGCGGCCGCGGCTCAAAGAGCTTGGCAATGTTTGGGGGATACGTGGTCATCGTGGCGTTCTGGCAAGAGTATGTTGTGGATGGTAAGGACTAGGATCTAGAGAAAATAGGACGTGGTTATGCAGCAAGAGATTTCTAGTAAAAAAAAATAATGTCCTGCACGAGCAAACAATGTGGATTTTGCAAGAGCAGAGCCTGGAAATATAATAGTGTCGCTTGATAAGTGTTCGTAAAGAATCAATGGTGATTGTACGACTATAATAAATAGTAATAGAACCATATTATTACTATATTATAACTCAGCTATGTATTTTCCGAGCTATATAATTAGCTGGGCCATAAATTTTGACATTGGTTCTGGCATTGAGCGTATTTGCGTCACTTCCAGAATACCAACCGGAGATGTTACTATAGCCATTAGAAGTTAAAACAGATCACTTAGGTTATATATATGTACTGTTTCATGTAAGTGAGCTTACTTCCCATTTTATTACACCTAATATGGCCGGCTTTTGATTATTATTGGGCCAAACTATATTCTCTGTAGCCAGATCAGCCTCAAGATGGTTTAGAGGATACATAGAAGGGATATTTATATACCTTAGTGTATATTGCAACTATTTTATCTTCTACACTCAAGGAATATTATGAGTAATTGCATCTTTTACTGTAGCGATCCCTCTTTATATTCCTCAGCCTCGCCTTGTTGATATCAAGGGGAAGGAGTCGAGGCCCTTTTATAGGATTCCAACGACACTGAAAGCCCGTTGTAAAGATTCTGTGGACAAATACCCACATGCTCATAAATGCTACGTGCATATAGACTTGCCAAAATTTATCCAGTTATTTCTTAGCCACCGTAGCTTTCGGAGTTCTACACGGATTCAAACCCATGGGTATATTGGCTTTTGGCCAATTTTATAATTATACAGTCTATTATGCAGATTAGGCCTCAGGAACGAGCTTCTTGATATTCTCATACAAGTCGTCTCTTATCTCGGCCCTGGCGGTCTTGATAGCGTACTGCACTGGACTGCCCGACTCGTCTATGCTCACAACGCGCAAGAATTTCTCGCTCTGCAACGACGACTCCATTCCCTTGGAAACCTCCAACTTTGCCACTAGTGGCACATTCATAATTACGCGCAACAACCCATTGGATCTCATCACGATCCGTGATTTGTGGGTCTTGTTGTTGGTGTTCAAGTGGAGCACACCTACGCCGCGCTCCTTCCAGCCTTCCGTGACTTTACTGAGGTCCAACGCGTACAACCGCGCCTTTGTGTTAAGCACCGATGTCTCTTCCTCCTCACCGGTGGCCACAGTCGTTTTGGTCAACTCCACCTGTTTGAACTGGTCCTTGGGTGCGGAAGCGGTCATGTCTTCTTCTAGCTCGGCGTTCTCCGCTACGGTTTCCTTGGCAGAGTCCAAGAACGACGGCTTGTTTAACGTTGCCTGGAACGCGTTACCGAACGTGGACTTGGAGCCAAACGTGCCAAACGTTGACTCGTTCTGCGGGGCATCTTCTTCCGCCGCCGGCGGGGTGCTGAAGACGTTTTTACCCTTTAGCGCCGTGGAGAACGCGCTACCACCGAAAGACGTGGTGGAACCGAAGATGTGCTTCTTTTCTGGGGTTTTAGCTGGAGGTGCATCATTCTCAGCTATTTCATCAGCGACAGGTGCTGGCGTGAAGGGCTTAGACGACCCAAATGCTGTCTTCCCGAACACAAATGCTGGCTTTTTCTTTGCTTTTTCCCCTTTCATTTCTTCCTTGCCTGTCTCTATCTTTGTTTCCTCATCCAATTCTTTATACTCGCTCTCAAGCTTCGCCAGCTCTTTGTCCTGTTCCTTCTCTTCAGATGGCGTCAACTTCATCTTTTTTCTCTCCTCGTCTTGCGATTCGTGTGTTTCGCTGCAAGGCTCAACTGGAGTTTCCTCCAACGCTCTCTTCTTTGACGTTTCATCAATAGCATCTCCTTGGGTCATGGTTAGGTTTATAGCTTCTTTTTCCCAAGGTTTGTGAGCGTGGAGTGGTTGGATCAAAACGCGTGTTTTTTTGCCTCTGTTTACCGGTTCGACTTTGCTCTATGTAATTTATCGGTACGGGCACACCAAGGGTGTTTTTCTGTGAGGGATAATCCTAAGCTTAAGAGTACCCCACAATCGCTTTGCCAAAGATTTCGGCAAGGGCGTTTTGCAAAAGATATCGGACTAGTATCAGGCTTGTGTTAAAAATTTGGAGAAACAAAACTAACGGTCCTTCAGGGTGTTGCTAATTTCATAGGAGACCATCAGGAAATATACCAAGTGTAACAGAGATCAGATCGTTGCCGATATTGAGATATGGCAAGCTCAGCCTACTCCCAGGATAGATATAATAAACTTTACTGGCTGTATTCCGCTCAAATATCTCCGAAAACAGAGGTTTACACTAAGACATACTAATGGAGAATATATTTTAAGACAGGTATAAGCCTGTCAACTTGTGGAGAAAATCGAATATGAGACAAAGCCTTCTATGATCAGAATTATTTAGCAGCGGCGAACAACTTCTCGATTTCGGCAACAGACTCGGCCAAAACCCTTTCTTGGAACTTAGGGTTGGTAACTTCCTTGTTGACCTTTTCAATAATGGTCTTGGCCAACTGTTCCTGTTCCAACTGTCTGACAGAGGCTTCGTATCTGACCCAAGAGTCCAAAACAGACTTGGCTTCAGCGGCAAAAGTAACTTTTTGCTTCAACTCGAAAGCCTTGGCTTCCAATTCGACAGTTTCCTTGGAGATAGCGAACAACTGCTTGGTGGTGGAGACAACGTCGCTCAACTGGGAAACAGAGGAGATTCTCTCGGTGACAGAGGAGACATGCTTGGCTCTGGAGGCGTTCAAAACGTCAGAGACATGCTTGACTTGGCCATCAGCCCATTCCTTATAGGCTGGGGCCATAATCTTAGCGATAATGCTACCAAAGGCAACGAAAGTACCGACCAAGATAACTTCGTCGTTCATCAACAAGAATTCATTGGAGATACCGTACACAGCGGCGGCAGTACCAGTCAACAAAGCACCAGTCTTGGTGACGATGGAGTTACCTGGCAAGGCATCAATGATGGAGGTGGCCTTTTGTTCTGGGGTTGGAGCAGACAAGTATCTGACACCGATTCTAGACAGGTTAGTATGGGTACAGTGTGAAGCAAGGCAGATGTCTCAGAATTGATATTGAAGGTTCGGGGGGGGGGGGGGGGGGGGGGGGGGGGGGGGGGGGGGGGGGGGGGGAGTCTTGTGGGATCATGGTGAGGGATGGAAATGAGATGACTCGGCAGTAGGATTGGATAGGCATCAATTCAGTGGATGACTGAACCTTCATTGATCGCAGCTGTGGGCTTGGATAGGGACATCTATCTTTGATTTTGTATTGCAACTGGATACTTACGGCGCGACACGGAAAGCTGGACGGATAGCTACGGAGACATCGGTTAGTAATCGCTCGTGATGGGACATAACGGCAAGGGAGCCGCGTTGATGGAGCACGTACCCTTAGAAGATAATCTGACCAAAGACATTTTCTTAATTGTAGAGATAAACCTAAGACTGTGTGTGGAGGGATTTGGCGGTTTTGATATACGCTAATAACACGCATTGGGCGTAATTTTCACGTTCGCATACTAAGAGAAAAAAGGAGGTGTCGGGCTCGCGCATAGAGCTCGATATCATTGGTTCGCGAAGAAACATCCCAAAGAGGTATGTATTGCCTAATATGGCCATCACGTGCAGTAACACCCACTAGCCCGGTGCACGGAGAGATCCATGACTGATCTGACAGACACACATGTTCGCTGGGTTATATATTCCTATTTAAATATTTCTCCTCCTCTGAGGCATATAATGTCTGATCTATATGGTTTCTTTTGACCGGCTTGTACAACTCTGCCTTCTCTTCGTCGTCCGAGTCAAACCTAGACTCGAGAGCAATGCCAGTACTGGTGGGTGGATGTTCTGAGGTATCGGAGGCGCTTACCACCGGGTAATGGGTATTCTTCTTTCGCATACTGGCCGGAACGAATCTCTTGACCTTATCGGCATTCACCACTTCGCTACCAATGTACTCCACTTGGGTGGCTGCGCCATCGACGTTGTCCAAATACCTGGCGTCTATCTTGTAGAACCTTGGAGGGTTGGAGGAATCCTCGGGCATGGGAATAGGGTTCGCGAGGATGTCAGCATCTATCTCGTACTTTTTAAATCTAAAGTGATTTGTAGAGAGAGGCGCAGAAAGGTTTGGCGGAACATGGGTAAGTTTGAACAGCCTGCTGTCGGCAAGTGTGGGAATCTGGCCTAATGGGTTGAGCTCCGGGTTATAATAAATAGAGTTTGAGCCTAGGAGCTTGGAGTCAGTATCCTTCACCATTTTTTCCTTGACAGAATTGTCATTTTTCTTGACAAAGGCCTCAATTTCCTCTTTGAATAAGCCGTTTTGGATCATAAACTTGAGATCTAACTCAGCCTTTTCCAATCTCCGTAGCGACCTTCTATCACCCTGTTCTGTTTCTTCCAAACCATTTTCCTGCCGCAATCGCCTTAACAGGTTCAAAAATCCGTGGATATTCAACTCCTGGAGAGTTTCTTTTCTAGCTTGTACCAACCGCTTCTTGTGTTTCTGTTGCTCCTTCTTTTTGGTTTCGAGATTGTGCTGCTCCATGGGAGTGAGACCAAGCTTGACCAGGCGTCTCAAACTTGACGACATTATAGTTAGTGTGATAGAGCTATGTGTTTAAAAGTGCTTGATGATGCGAGGGGGAGAAACTACGGATAACAAATACACGCTTTCACACTTGCCATATACCAAAATCTACCTGGTTATCCTGTACACATTCCAGTTCCTGCACCGAAAAGTTGCCGTGCCATTGGTGTCGCAAAATATCTTTAGCTACAATCGACTTTTTTTTTTAATAAACAACTATGTTGAAAGCTTCAAGAAGGGAAACATCGAAACATTACCCTCCTTCCCATCCTATTTAGTTTATTAAAGGCTTATCGACTATACACAGGATAATGAATAAACCCTCCCAGCCACTACCAAACAGATCATGCAACCCGCCCAACAGAAACAAGAAAAAACAAACCAGAAAGCAAAGGTAAGAGAAAAGACTTTGTAGAAAGAATCCACGCAAAGAAGCCTTCGGACAATACTGCAAGCCGCTTAGGATCTGTATCTCCACAAGGACAAAGTGTTGTTCTTCTTCCAGGTGTGTCTTCTACCGGCCTTGGTGTTGTTGTATCTGTGACCCTTGTTGATACCTCTGGACTTCTTACCAGTGGAAGTCAAACCTCTAGCTTCACGGTGCTTGTGGACTGGGTTACAGATCCAGTTGTAGCGGGCATCACGTCTGATGGCCTTGTGTTGAGGGTCGATAAGGATAACTTCGAAGTACTTGTAGGTAGAATCTTGGTTAACCCAGTAAGAGTTCAAAACTCTCAAGTTGGCAGCACGACGACCGACACGTTCTTCGGCGGTAGATCTCAAAGATCTCTGGTACTTCAACTGCTTAACACCCTGGTTGGTTGGCTTACCGTAAGTGGCACCCTTTGGCACTGGTCTCTTTCTGCCACCTCTTCTAACTCTAACACGGTAGATCACGAAACCCTGCTTGGCCTTGTACCCCAATCTTCTGGCCTTGTCTGGTCTGGATGGTCTAGAAGCTCTGTGGATAACAGTCTTCTGTCTGTATTCCCAACATCTGACTCTGAAGAGGAATCTCATCACATCAGATTGCTTCTTTCTCTGCAATTCTTCCAAGTATTTGTAAGCACCCATTTTGTTAGTTAAGTAGTTATGGTAAACAACAAAAGAGAAAAGTCGAAGCGTCGAAAATATAGTGGGAGGCCGAAAAATATATACATGGCCCAAGTTTTTCCACATTCACCCGCGTGCAGGTTCATGTCTGAAAATTTTTCGACTACCGTACATAGTCAGGGTAACGTTCTTTGGGTAGTACACGCCGGATTTTTTCTTGAAAAAGCAGTCACACCAAACTTGGTCTCGAGCATATGCATCACCTAGAGCACTTAACTTTTCCCCGCGTTTGAAGTGCTTCGATGGCTGATGTAGGTTCGGCTGCAAAAAGCTAGCTACGCTTCATAAAGCCCCGGACTATGAGCTCCCAATGTAAAACTGTAGAGCCAATTGGGTTGTCATTTAACTCTGGAGAACTATGCATTTATTGAGGCAACCACGCGGTGAAAGAGAAGGTACAGTCATTATCTGAAGGCCATATGGCTATAGGCTATTACACTTTCAAGGCATGTTATAACGAAAGTAGCTACTTTGTTTTTGGATTAACTAAGGGAAAGGCTGACCTTCAGCGGTTTCGAACACTAACCGTCTGAGATTATGTCAGTTTTGGTCTCCATTTTCTTGAGGTTTCATCTAGTACCAGGTACGTGTATTACTTTGATCCAAATGAAGATGCGAGCCTTTTGGTTCTGTATATACCCTAGTTATAAGCTTAGCCTTGCAGAATGCTATACTTTTCTAAACCAAGTTTCAGCGGTGGAAGATTGACGATGCATGTAAAATGCTCAAATGGTCTACTCCACCTCCGACCTGAGACGGAATTACATATCCCAGACAAGACGAAAGGGTTTGTGTATGTAATGGAACGATGTTGGCAAAGTTTTCTATCAAACCAAGTTTTAATATAAATGATGATATCTGATGCACAGAATTGTTTCAAACCGACTTTGTCTCAATTATCTAGATCTACAGAAATTGGTTACGATGGGCGTCACTGGAGCGTTATCGTATTGGTGTGCTATAGGTATTTTTAGTTCAAAACATATGAAGGGGAAAAAGACCAATACAGTTAATGGAACTCCCGTTTTGGAAATATAGCATTAGATAAACCTATCCCCTTGCATTATCCAGCGTTAAATAACACGTCTACAATCGTTGAACGGCCTCTGGAAAAAAAAAACTCGTCTCGAAGGCACTCTGTTGGGCCTAGGGTATGTTTGAGATTTTAGGTTCTAATTTATAAGTATGGTATTCGATTACGTAGCCGTACCTTAAGCATATTTCTAGATTTAGAGACCTTAAACTAAACTTGCTGAGTGTGAGAGTTAGGTTTAAATCAGGCCAGGAGTGCGGCTACGGCGTTCTAAGTTTGATACCCGACGGTGGACTGGTTCAGAATCCAAGAAATTAATGCTGATCAACCGCAGAGATATTTATTCCTCGTCTCCCTATCCACCGGCACCGTTTGTTTCAGGATGAATTTGCAAGACGTCGGGTAGATAGAAACGTTCATAGTATAATCAGATGTGTTGCAAAGATGTCAGTATGCTCGACTCCAAGTGTCTCAGATTCGTAACGGGAAATTGAGTTCCAGGATTTTAGGGTAGATGAAGGAGAGACCCAGCGGTTAATACATTACTCAGCATGTGCAAGGGCACCGGGAAACATCTCTGCGCGGACAATAACACTATGCATACCAGTCCGTAATTTTTACGAAATTACGTAGTTAGCAAGGATTATGTCGTTTCACAACGTGGTACCGTGGCCAGCTATCTAGGATATTATCCCTTTACTCTGTGCTTGATTAACTAATACGCCCGGAATCCTAAGTCTTAATCATGCTCTGGCCCATGGCACTGCAGCTGCTGACGATAGTTTAGGATCCTGCACCCTGAGGCTTATGCAGGTACCAAAGAGCATTTCCGATCTCAAGTTAGCCAGGAGCCAAAGGAAGTGGGCCTACCGAATGCATATGACGTAGGTAGATCTCGTGGAATCAATACTACTGATAATCCCTGGTGGGGCTTAAAATGACGTAATTGGATGAGAAGTGAGGCGGTCGTATATTGTTGCTCTGTTTTTATCTTACCTTAGCCATTCGGTCACAGGTATCTGGGACCGAGGATTAATCAATACAAGCATTCATGACCATTTTTGAGTTAGAGGTTATATATAATACATAAATAGTTGTAACGAAGTGGTGTTTCGTATACGCCAATGTTTAGCCATTAACCATCCAAATACCGTTAGACTTGGTCTCTAAAATCATGCCTTGTGATAAATGACGTAAGGGGCAACCAAAAGAGTTCTGTATGGCATGTGCGATTCTCAGCCAACCTGTTGAATCGGGTTTAGACCTGTTCGTAGACGCACTAGGAACAGGATCGATGTCTGTCATATTTGTATACCCTGGTACGGATGCCAGTCTAGTTTCCAGTCACTATTGTTATGACGCTCTCCATTAACGCCGCTAACCAAGAACCTTGTGCAGCTTCTGTATCACCAATAGCTCCAGTCAATTTTCCCCCTGAAGCGCCACCATCAGGTGAAAGAGGAATATATACGAATCGTCTGAGCATCACCTTGAAAAACAGACTGGAGATTTCAGCTATGTTATTTTCGACGTCTATTTCAAGGGAAGGAGAGCAGTTACTGCTGCACATAGTTACAACCTCATTAAACATTTTTGTTGACCACTTACAGTGTCATTGACACACACCCGATCTCACAATTTGAGGTGTTACATATGCATGCATGTGTGTTTTATGTTACTGCACAATGCATGGTCTGTTACATCCGGTCATAAGGAACTAGGAAACCTTATACGATTCTTTCCCAAAGCGGTAATGATATATCAGGTATCGCGAAATTGTTTGACCGAAATGACGTAGTATGCTACGTTTTAGGCAGCCATATAGCTGCATGTGTTGATCTTCTGTTTACCCCTTTTATGCACAACGAGCCTAAATTTAGGTTATTATGTCGATCCCCTGAGTTTCAGAGGTCTCGCGAATTCTTGTCAGCCACAAGCTCTTTAAGTTTTAAGTTTTGCAACATTCTTGTATGTCCGGCAGCTCATTGTCCAACACGCAGGCATACACTTGAAACATCCCCACCGTTTCAAATCTTGCTAATAGACGGCTACATATTCAGGAAAGGTATATATAACCATAAACATCCCCACATCATTCTCACACTAAAAATATCCTTCCCCATATCAATCTCTATAGCTCTACATACCTACACATTTCTTTATATTACCAGCTCATAAATACCATGTCTCTTTTGGTTGATACCGCTTTTGCCACAGCCGCAAGGGCTACCCCATCTACGTTGACCAGAGTCTACGTCACACAACGTTCCACTACCTCCGTTTCCTCTCCTTCCACTACATCCGTATCTACTGTCTCCTTTATGCAAGGCTTGAGGAGAGTTGGTGGATCCTCTTTGACGGTAGACCTCATTGCAGGCACAACGACTACCACCGCCGCTCCCAATCTTATTCTTTATGACTCCACGTACAGCTCCGGCGCTGCTGCTGTTACTAACTACGTTATCACGGAGACCGATGAAAATAATGGTGTACAGAACGTCACCAGTACTGCGACCGCCAGTGTTTCGGCTGTTGTCCCTACGGCACTGACAACTTCGGCAACGAACGCGGCTCCTCGTATGGATAATCCGTACTTAGGAAACAAGAAAATGGTGATGGCTACAGCCTTAATGGCTCTTACGGCTGTCTTTGGGACTCTTTAAACAATGCATTCCCTGTCTAACGAACTCAATCACCAAAACTATCTTGCATGGTTATCTGGAGCCATCCAGCGGCCCACCCTTTGCTTTCTCCACTACGGTTTCTGTTATTAACTTTAAAGTGATAGATAGTGTTTGCACGCATATTTATATAAACCAAATGCTATTCCTCGGCTCTTATGGAGAGGTTCCGTTATGCCCCTCGGTCTTTTTTCCCTTTCGAGTCTCGTCTTGCTTTATATTGATGTCTATTATTTATTCAGTAATACCCAAGTACACCCCCATAGAGTATATGTAGGATACCAGCGCAGCTAAATAAAGATTACTAAGATCGGTACCATATTTAGTTACTGCACAAAACTCCATAAAGTTCAGTGTACGCCAGTATTCTTTATTTACAGTCAGGCAAACAAGCAACATTTACGATCTAATGTAATACAAAGCTGTTGAGGATTAGTTTAAAAGTAAATTCTCGAGGAACTGATTATTCGTGTATCCCTCCTTTTTTTTACTACGAACTGCGGCGTGCTATACGCCTGGGGATATGTCTGTACATTTGGATAACGAGGATTCAACAGATAGTTGGCTACGATAACCCGAGTCACCCACCCTTATGGTAAGATATTAGCCACCTTATTGGTATATTATACCATAATATATTGTAATTTGCTTGATTTTACTACCTATTAGCCTGCTAACTAGAATGCTTGCGTTAAAATAATGCTTCCTGGTGATTCCCTCTTCACCCTATACTGTACAGTCCTGCATGCAGTGTGCCGTACGGTCAGATCACACCGTGAATTTTCAGACGCGTCAACTGGAGTTTGTATTTGTATTGCCAGCCAAAGCCGATTATCTATTTGTCTCTTTGAACATACCAATACGCGTCCACCCCAGGCTATCTTGCTCTATATTTCAACCTCCAGCTTACGCTTTCTAATGAATTCTTCAGAAGTGATCGGCGTACACTCGGATATGGCCATCCAATCGGGTGTTGACATGGTGCCTGCCATTTCAGCTGAGGCGGAAAAGAACTATCGCATTTGGAAGAAGAATGCGCCTCTTTTATACTCATACCTTTCCACAACATCGCTTTTATGGCCTTCTTTGACGGTTCAGTGGTTTCCAGACTACGAAATCAACCCGTTGAACGCGCGTGTGAGAAAACAGCGAATGGCCTTGGGCACGTACACTGGCGGTCAGATGGACGACTATTTGCAGCTAGGGAACATCCATATTATCAACAACAGTACAGTCTCTGGGAGCACTCTGGAACCGCTCCTATCGTTGGAGGACTGGGAAAACAACTACGATGGGGACAAGGAAGAGTTTATTGTTACAAAGCCCCTTGGCAACAGCAATGGCGCCACCGCTAAAAACTCACAGCTGCTCCTCCAGTCTGCTAAGAAATTAAGACTAGACATCATCCAGAAGATCAAGACAGAATGTGAAATTAACAAGTTACGATTCATGCCTCAAAACCCCGATGTCATTGCCACGATTAACAACCGGGGTGTGGTGAGCGTGTACGACAGAACCAAACACAAATCTACGGCAGCCACCCTCGCCTCCCTGATTTCCCCGGACACATTTCAAGGCTTTTCATCCCTAGGGGATGAAGACAGGCCGGTCATCACATTGGACGCGCACAACTTCCAGGACGGCTGGGGGCTTTCGTGGAATGTGCAGAACGAGGGACAGTTGCTATCGGGGGCCATGGACGGTAACGTGCGGTTATGGGACATTAAAAGGTCTTACAAGTCACAGAAGAGTAGTGGTCCGATATCGTTCCCACCCGCCCAGTCGTTCACAATCAACGAGGCAAAGGGCGTCAATGACGTGAAATGGTTTGCTTTGCACGATTCGCTTTTTGTCACGGCAGGGGAGGATGGATACTTGACGCTAATAGATATTAGGGTCCCCCAATCTTCAGCCATGAACAGAAATCAGCCACACCATTTTGTGGGCATTAACTCTGTGTCGGTCAGCCCGTTGAACAACTTCGTGGTTGCCAGTGGTGATGCCAGCGGTATCGTTAGCATCTGGGACACCCGTAATTGGAAGCAGGACCCAGCACAGGCCACACCGTACAAAACATGGAAGGGTCACTCGGAGTCTATCACCAATGTGTCCTGGAACCCAACTTTGGGACACGTGCTTGCGTCGTCGTCACAAGACAAGACAGTCAAGATATGGGATGTAGGACTCGACGAAATTCGTGAGCCGCTTTTCATTCACGGAGGGCACATGTTGGGGGTGAATGACTTTGATTGGAATGCCAACGACGAATGGATGATTGGTAGTGTGGGAGATGACAACTCCTTGCACGTCTGGAGAGCGAGTGACGAAATCATCAAGGGTTATTTGTAATCGGTATTTTAAGGATCAATTACGGCGCAAGCCAAGGGTGAACTACATATAGCGAAAGGCTAACACGATTAAAGAGCTCCTCTCAACACAGGTTACGAAATTGGTACTGCTTTTAGGGGCTTTGTTAGCCGCTGTCAATGTAAGCTACTCCATATATACCTCTTTGTATCATACCCTGGCAGGTTTATGTGCGTATAGAGTGAGCCGCATATGCATAGCAGTGAATGGGTAAGCCCTACCTTTTTACACGTGATAAACATGCTTCTATCACTACCACGCGAGAGCTCGTAACACTCTGCATGAAAAATTTTCCACCCAAGACGTGGGAGAGATTATTGCATCCCACCACCTTTATATAAGGCATATTTCTGTTTTGCTCTTTCGGACTTTTTTTTAGCTTTCTCTCCTCATCCAACTCCACTCAATTACAATGGCTCCAATCGTATGTACTGATCATATATGAGTGCAAAAGAAAAAGCAAGGTACAATACACCGAGTTTAGGGCCTATGGCCTGTTTTCCTCGCGTGCCCTCTTTTTTAATGCTTATCATAATTGGAAACGTCTTAAGAGAACAAATGAACCATTCTTTCACTGTCTGTTGAGGGGGGGTTGTATCTTTGCCTCCTCTCAACCTTTAGTTACTTATGTCTTTCGGGCTATGCTGTCATTTCTTCCTTTATCACTTCAATTATTATATGTTGATGGATAAGAAAGTTGTCAAGGTACCCAGCGATGGGTGCCTTGGTTTTATTTTCCTTTTCCTTTTGTTCGCTCAAAAGCAAAACCAAAATTACCGTGCGGTAGGCCTTTGAAGATACTAACCTCTTTAGACCACCAAGAGAAACAAGGTCGCTAAGAAGTTCACCGTCGATGTGTCCGGTCCAACCGAAAACGGTGTTTTCGACCCATCTTCCTACGTCAAGTACTTGATCGACCACGTCAAGGTCGGTGGTATTGTTGGTAACTTGGGCTCTGACATCGAGATCACCGAGGAAAACAACAAGGTTACCGTTGTTTCCAACACCCAGTTCTCTGGTAAGTACTTGAAGTACTTGTCCAAGAGATACTTGAAGAAGAACCAGATCAGAGACTGGATCAGATTCGTCTCCGTCAAGCAGAACCAGTACAAGTTGAACTTCTACAACGTTGCTGAGGAAGAGGAAGAGGAAGAAACCGAGGAATAAATTATTTCGTCTATAGCCGATATATAATTTACTCTTATTTTCTCTAACACTTCTTTCAATTTTGGTTTCTATGGTGGGTTTCTCGTTATGTTCATGTTCTCTTTTTCTGTTTATGTATAGTATTATAAACTGAGTAATATCGAATGAGGGTTTGACCGGCCAATATCAAAGACGTTTTCTTGTAGGCTCATGGCCCTGTAGCTGCATGGAGAGTTAGCTAGGTTTGGCATAGGAAGTGGGTAATGCTACCGAGTGGGGGTTCTTTTCGCGGGAGGGGGTTCTTTAGGTATGCCTCTCAGCTTTTCATGCCAGATAACTATTAATTTTCTCGTACTCAGTCAAGTAAACTGGGTGGAACCTTAAGTTACGTTTCTGCACGAAATCGGGTCCTGTGAAACGGAGCTGATGAGGTCTCTACCCCTTGGATACATGACCTTTACCACCAATCTAAGCTTTTGAAGATATTAGCTACCCTGGTTAAATAGGTCCCTTTATGACGGCCCACAGATAATTTGGTTAGACCCTCTAAAGAAAACCCCCCTTATATAATTGAGTCTGAATGGGGTTTGAACTAGCCCAAGCCTGGTCTTTTTTATGGGCAGTCCAGATTCTGAAATCTGGAGGATAATATTTTGCCAGAAGTTTAATAAGCGTGTATCCTACATTATATCACCCACAGGAATAACCTATACCATGACAAACTGATATTAAAACCTAGACCAAAAAAAAGCATATAAAAACGAAAATGAAAGTAGCCTCCACCATTAATCTATTTATCCTTCAGCCCCTAGAGCTTTCTGTACAACCTGAAGAAGAAACGCATGTTTTCCAACTTGATGTTCTCCAATCTCGAGGAGTAAAAGTCCTGAGACTCCTTATCAACTCTGTACCAACAACTGTCACTGCTCTCGACTAACTCCCAGGCACCATCATAGGCTTCCGGAGTTTTGGACTTCTTGCCACTGCCGGCCTTCTTGAGCTCGGACTTTTTGTTGCTCAACAACATGTCAATCATGAAAAATACCGGGAACTGCTTGGTACCAATTTGAATATTGGAATAGGAACCAGCAGACTCGGCGATGAGAAGCAAGGTTCCCGGAGAACACTCCTGGTTCATTCTCTGGAAGAACTGGATGGACTTGGACTTGTCTTCTTGGAACAACTCGTTAGTGGTGAACAACAAGGTGATCAACTTCTGGTTGGCCAACGAGATAGCGGTGTCGTCTTTTTCTGGAACCCCATTAAAGTACGTCAAGACGTCATTCTTCAAGTAGTTGGTGATGAATTGTTGTGGCCTAGTGTCTGGCACCTGACGAATCCAGCCCAAAGTGTTGATCTCATTGGTGACCTGTGTGACGATGGAGCCCCAGTCAGAAACGTCCATGACGTTGATCTGGAGCGGCTTGTCTTTGGTGGAGCAGAATTCCTTCATGCGGCCGTAGATGGCAGCCAACCCGACGATTTCGGCACTGGCACCACCCCCAATGAGCAAACACTGGCAGTCTTCATCCTCATCCTCCTCGATGATGTACTCACTGATCATCTCCACGATAGGCGTCAAGGAACTCATCAAGGAGGCATAGGAAAGGGCTCTCAGAGAGGACCATCTAATCAAGTACGCTAATCTCTTGGCATCGTCGTCAAAAGCATCCAAATAGTCACGGTTGTACAAGTCGGTCTTAACCGCCTGGATGGTGGACTGCAACTCAGTGGTATCTGTGAAGGAGGACTGGAAAAGACGGTGGAAGAGATGGAGAATCTGATCCGTCGCAAGCTGGTACTGTGTGTGAGGAGGAATGGCGACAATATCCTTTATGACAACCTTTCTGGCGAATTCGTCGGCAAGGTCCTCCTCTTCCTCTTCAGCTTGGGGCGCTGGGGGGCCATATAACGCGGCTTCTTCCTGCTGTGCCTGCAAAAGCGCAGCCTTTTTGGCCTGGGTACGGGCAATTCTTCTACTTGGCATTGGAATAATAGAGTTGTGCCGAACAAAAGGGGCTTTGCGGAGCTGTACACACCTGTTTGATTACTGCCTCCTCATCGGTACCGATAATTTTATTTTTCATGCATGAAAAACGTATGAGAAAACCCTAATAGTAAGAGCGGCCCAGTGGTACAGCGTAGCTCCGGGTAATAGAGGGCTCATCGCACAGGGCTCATGTGCTGAAAAATTATTTTTCCGCCCTCACGCTATAAATACGCGCACGCTTGCTCCCCGTATCCGTCTCTTCCTTTCTTTCCTCACCATCTATCTGTGCTTAGGGTAGACCGACACTTACTACAGGGGTGGGTGGATGCAAAGTTCGCTTTCCGTCCAATTCCTCCCTGTTGTGGGTTTTGTTGGGATCCTAAGCAGATCGGCGCTCGTGAAGCAAGTTCCCAGAGGATGAGGCTCTTTTCCTGGTGGTAACACCGGTTGATTTTAGCTCTCATTCTCGCCGTCTTAGGACACTATGGAGCAGAGTTAGCTCCGTCGACAGATTGTATAGTAAGCGAAACCTGGTTTTGAACTCCCCGTGCGGGCTCTCTGTTTGGAGGGAATTGGACTTCGGCCCTTTTCTCTTCAAGCGGCCGCGCTGGTTGATGTTTGGCCCGGCCCTTTTGGGCTGAGTGTTTCGTGGCAGCATATTCCTGAACACTGCGGACGGTCGTTTGGCTTATGGACGCTTGGGTAAAACCATGCTGCTCACATTTTTTCTTTTATGTATCGTTTATAGTTTTGTAAGCGCTATCTAGCAGCTTGTAGCTATTGCTGGTGCTCTATCAGAACATTAGCCCTTTTTAGTGTGACAGTTGAAAGTTCGATTTTCTTTGTGTCCAGATGACTTGAGAATGGAGCGTTATTGATCAAACGCGAGTTGTCATTATTCGGGTCGATTTAACTAGCGAAATATCATAGTAAGCTTGTAAATCCATATTTTCCCAAGATTTTTAAAATCATATTGATTTACTTTCCAGTAAATTCACAATCCATTGTTGCGCACGTATGCATACACGCTTAATTATTGATTTTAGATAATATTTTCGTATACTATAAACACAACAATGATAATAGATCCATATATTACCATAAAAAAGAGCAGATACACAATATTCGTTTAAAAGTCTATAGAACAATATATATGTCCCCCAATAATGACAGAACCATAGATATACCCGTACTGTGCACTTTTCCAGTGATATAATTATTGCCGCCTCTGAAGAATCGCCAAATGAGAAATCAAAGCAACTATCCACTATAGCTGAGTAAAAAATAAATGGTCCCTAGCAGGATCGAACTGCTGATCCCCGCGTTATTAGCACGATGCCTTAACCAACTGGGCCAAGGGACCACAAGATAAAACTAAAGATTCTAGCAAAGACTTCGTTAAATGTGATTTATCTGAGCATTTGTTCATCTACTGGGTCATTTACATGTAGATTTATAGATTCAATCTTTTAGACTTAGACTTCTGTCCTGCAACTTATTGAGTTTTGGCAATCTTCTGCCAAATGGTGCTGATATCTACAGTAATAAGTCCATGGCTTCATATTTCTAATAAGTTACTTGTGCTCTGGTAAGGTATCAAAGGTTTGAATACATAAATAAAGTATATTCACTAACCACAATAAGGATGGTAAGGATGTCGTATTTTCTTTTATAGACTGTTTATTCCTCCGATAAGGCGGCTTTTGTTTATCCAGAATTCTTTTCTGAGCCACATTGCTCTTTGACATCTTGTAATAATCTTCCCACAGATCGAGTGGTCCCGTGACATAAAATGTGCACTGAAACATATTTCAACACACTTTTAATCACGCCGAGGTATCTCCGTAAAGTAATCCTTTTTCGGAACATAAGATAACTTATCAGCTGTGATATGTGATAACACTAAACACTATTAGTGCTGGAACGATAAACCGCAGATCCGTCTAAACCCGTCCTTGTGTTACCCCTACCTGGAAGCCTGAAATTAGAGATTAGGATCTGTAACTAAAACCATCGGCAAGCTAGAGATCGGCGATGCAGCAAGGATTATGAAGGGAGTATACTAAGACTATGCTTGCTTTCGCACCGTATGTTCATATTTAATAGCCTAGAGTTAACCCATTGTGATTTGTTTTCGCTCACACCATTTACTGACACATTAGCGAATAGTTATTTACACAGTGCCCGACCTGCTACACGTAGCATTTTCCGCGGAGCTTTTGAATCAGAGAAGATACAAGTATACAACTATTGGGTGTGCATGGGACAGAAAGAAAACCAGCACATATGGCGGTCGGGAATCGAGCGGTTTTACAAAGTATAGGATAAGGGATAATCGGTTGATCGCGTTCGAGTATACGTAAAGCGAGCTTTGAGCAGGAATTTATGCCAACTTAACGTCCCATGTGAAACGCCATAATCCAGCTAGAGGTATAATTGTAGATTACATCATCTTGCTGCAGATTAGTTCCACCCTTTGTAATATGGGAACGGTAATTTAGCCTTCCAGTCATTGGAAAGCAGTAACGTAATGCAAAATCGTTGGGACCTTCCGTCATGCATAGAAAAGCTTAGCTTAATCCCAGTTTACTTGGAATTCTTACTATGCGGTTTCCCCCGATAACCCTTGACGAGAAGGTTACATATGTGCGAGGTGCCCAAGTGAAATTCATCCTTACAGGGGTGGATTTTGGGTGCTTGCGTGCAATCCTTGCAGCGATAAGCCCCCAAACCAGATTCAGTTTTCGATTTTTTTCACTAGCAGCAAGACCTGCAGCTACGGGTAACAGCTGGAAATAGCACGAGCCCCAAAAAGTAACGTGGTCCGAGCTCTTGGCAAGCGTAACAACTGGGGAGACTATTTCACTGACTTAGAATATATAAATTATACAAACTTTCTAGTCATGGAAGAGACAATGAAAACAGGCCGAATTCACGTGGAACTGTGTACAGGACAAACGTCCAGCCGATATATTCCTTGTTTGTCATCAGACTGAGTCCTGGTTTACTTGCAGGATAGTAGGAATCTTGACAGACGAGTCTTTAATATAGCGCAATCACGATTAATGATTCCCTTCTAGGATAGAGAGTGTTTTTCTGAGATGTTTAAGTAAGCCAAAGTTGGTGATAATCGCGCTATATCCAGTATAGCACTATATCCATGCAGTGACTTATAAATATGACCCCGCGTCTCCAAGTTGTAAGCCTGGGGCGTAGGAATCCATCGTATGGAGGGTAGTACGAGAGAAAGCACAGGAGTAAAGCGGGGTTGCTTAACAAAGCACAAACTTAGTAGAAAGTAGGGCCCTCAGACTTATTCTGCGAGATGCAGCATGCCTTTCCTAAGAGGTCGACGTAAGAGCATTAGCTACACAATAGCTTATAGAAAAGGCCGCAGGAGACAATCAGAGACTATGTGCGCATTCCTCTACGCGGCCGCCCCAGCCATAAACATATATTGTCCTAGCAGCACCACAAGACTTATTAAGATACAAAGTTGACCCGTGTACGTTTGATTCGTGTCTGGATTCTGACATACCCATTCCTAGGTTACTTCCATCTAAGATATGAGCTTTTACGGGGTTTTCCTTGGCCCACCGGCACTACTTTTTGCAGATCTCATGGTGAAAGCTAACGCTTGGGACGTAGACTGGATACATTACGCGGGCATTCTGGGCCCGGGGACTGGAGCCAACCGTTTGATCCACACAAGAACCATGTCGTTTCAGTCTAAAAAGACCTAGGCTAAAGCAGAGACAGCGGAAATACCAGCAGAGAAGTTTCCGTGTTTTGCAGTACTGGGATAAAAATATGCGCGATCGCGTAAGTTTAATCCGTCTGCATTACCCTGCACCACGTCTACCAGTGCTGCACTACCAGCAAATTTAAAAGCGCAATACATGTGAGTCCCGGACCGCCTCAAGAAAAGATTTTACTCCGAGCCGGCAATTATATATACCAAGCTATATCTCTGTTAATTGTTCCTACCTCTGTCCTATCACCTCTATTCTTCCTTATTAGCGAACCATCCTATATCCCACGCCGCACTCTTGCGCCCATTTCTCATCACTAACTCTTTGTGCTAATAGCTATCACGATTAAGCTTTTTTTTGGCATTTCTGCACATTGAAAAAACTGTCTTCTATCCCAACACACCTTTCCGTTCCCGGCATTCATTCGTCTTGTAACGATTTTACCTGGCGCTCAGAAAATCACCTTTGACGTTCAGCCATCCATTCTCCTAAAATCCCATTTTGCATACGTTTTTAGCTTCGAAGCCATTGCACGATAACGTCCAGTTATCCACAGTTTTGCGCCCTTTTACCATATCTGTTTTGCCGAACACCGAGAAAGAGATACTCCCCACCCCTGTTTTAACGAACAGCAATATCTACCGCGTCTCACCCTAAAAATCGACCTACACTATTGCCTCGGATAACCCCTTTTGCGCCTCTCAGCATACCGTCCGTTGCTCAGAAAATCACTCTTCGTATTAACGTTTACTTGCTTGAATCTCACGCAAGTCCGTCTATAAACCACTCCATTGCATTGCTAACGCTCAGCAGATAATTCCGTTCCTTACTACAATCCAGCTGTTCGCTCACCGCTTCGCTAACATTCGACAACCCAGATGTTCAATTTCAGGCTCGTCTCAAACAAATCCCAGGTCGCGTTAATCGGCTTGAAGCAGGCGGCACAGAATGCGGCGGCGCCACGCGCGCGCAAATACCTGCTGATCAGGACCATCGTCATGTTCCTCTGTCTCCTCCAATTGTACTTCCTATACGCCAATCTCTCAGCCGAAAGCGCGCACGTACACATGTTCGAGCAGGACAAAGGTCTCAGTGAGGATCTTGCCGGCTCCACCAGTGGCGCGACTATCTCGCGCATCCATGACATGGTGTACGCGCTCGATGACAAGTTGGCCACGCCGTTCAAGGACATCTTGCTTTCGCGTACGGCGGAGGTGCTCACAAACTCTAAGCAGGAAAACTGTCGGCTCTATTTTCAACAGCTCTACGCGTCCAACCCTGACTGGAAGTTCGACACCTTTGACGACGGCAAAAAGTATGAGTACGACAGGCGCGTCTTCAACCGCGATCGTTTTGTGCGCGAAGAGTCCAACACGTTGCGACGCAAAATGTATATGGAGCAAAATCAACTTGAGGAGAAACAGATGGACGATCTTGAGCTGTCGCTCTGGGAGGATCTCCAGCTCAGCGAGAAGGATACCCAGGATGTATACGCGCGCTTTGAAGAGAAGCATGGCGCGTTGGGCTTGACGGAACAGAGCATGGTTGACGCACTCACCAACCTCCGTGTATTTTCGTCGTGCTTCTTATCACGCAACAAGTTTGACCTCGATAAGAGCGTGCATGACGAAGTCAAGGCCGCAGAGCTCAGTAATGCGAAGCGCGCGCAGTACAACAGCAACCCACGCAATGCCAATAAGCCACCCAAACCGTTGGTAAACGTCACGGCGCTCGACCAGTCGTGTTCGTCTTTGCTGGCACGCCTCTTCCCGTGGCTATCCGGAGAGTACCCTGTGTACTCGCGTTGGAATGGAGACGTGGTGCGCGGCCGGCTTCCAGTGATGGCGGACTACTTGGGCCACGAGAAGCACCAGCACACAAGCACCAGTGAACACGCCAATACGTACCGCTCTAGCTCCGATTGCTTTCTCTCGGACCTTTTGCTCGCGTTTAACGGGCAGGGTATCGTGATAACCGCTAGCGATGTGCACAAGGAGGAATTGGTTAACTTGATCCGTGTGCTCCGTGGACTTGACAACAACCTCCCGATCCAGATTGTCCACCGCGGCGATCTCACTAACCCTGTACAGAGCGAGCTCATTGCGGCAGCACGCAACTCTTTCAACATGCGGAAGATGCCCAAGTCGTTCCGCCAGATGAATGAGCTCCACGACTACGTGGCCCACGGTACGGCTGATGGGCGTGATGAAGCAGCCAAGGCCGCCGTCGGAATGTCTAAGTACCACTACACGTTTCCATTACAGGAGATCTGGTTTGTGGACGTATCCAAGTGCATCAAGCCGGAGTACGACCGTTATTTTAAGCGCTTTTCCAACAAGTTCCTCCCGTACCTCTTTGGCTCCTTTGATGACACGTTGCTCATTGATGGCGACACCGTGCCGTTGATCAAGCCAGTCGAGTTTTTCAAGTCGCGTGACTACCAGGAGACCCAGACGTTGTTCTTTCGCGACCGTGACATGCGCGATAGGAACAAACCTGACGACCGCACATTCTTCCGCAAGTTTTTCCCGACCGTGTTGGACGAGTTGATGTTTGGTATTCCAAGTGTCTCCAATCACACGTTGGAGAATCCGTACTTCTCGTCTGAGCGCACGCGGTACCACATCATGGAGTCTGGGATCGTGGTGTACCGCAAGTCTGCGCACTTCAACGCGGTGCTCTCAACCATCTCCATCAACTTCTGGGGCCAGACCACCTCGCGCGTATGGGGTGACAAGGAGCTCTTTTGGCTTGGCTTCTCCATCGCAGGTGACGAGCGTTACCGCTTTAACGGTAACCCTGCTGCGGCTGTGGGCATGCTCACACCGAGGGAGTTCCGCCCCGACGGTACGCGCGCGCGCGAACTCTGCTCCGTCCAGCCCGGCCACGTGTCATCTGACGACGACCAGACGCTCCTCTGGATCAACGGGGGGTTTAAGTTCTGCAAGAAGGACAACACGTTCGAGGCGTCCAAGGGGAATGAGAAAATGTTGATGTACTCCGGTGCACACAGCTGGAGCGACCATACTGGCTACAACGAAAATACGTTGAAGCACATGTACCACGATGCTATCACGATCCTGGGCGCCATAATTCCGCCGGACTCGAGCCATTTCGTGGCCAACAAGAAGCAGGAACCACCGCGCGGATGGTTCAAGCCCAAGGTATGCAACGGGTACCTCTGGTGTGCCTATGACCTGGTCGGGGGTAGTACCAAACCAGAGCACCAGGGAAAGGTGGTGCAGTTCTCTGTCATTGACGAGTTGCGCTTCAAGTTCCTAGGTGACTTGTGGATTGGTAACCGTGTTGAGCAGGACGGGGTTTCACAGAGAATCAATCCGTTGCTCGGGGCGTAGCCGGGAATAGCAAGCGAAGAATTATTATAGAAAATAGAAATACACATTGAATTAAACTGACCCGGAGCCGAGAATGTGCTCGAAGAACAGAAGGATTTGACCAGGATTGAACACGAGTAACGCAAAGCATGCGGCTAAGTAAGCATTTTTAGACCGTGGGTTGTACCTCAAGTGAGAGTATCTAGGATCAAACTTTCCTGGACACTGAATCTACCAAGTCGATGGGAATGTTGCATATATCATAGCTCGTCCATAAGTTATACTACTAGTAGGGGCTTACCGAAGGCCACAATGGAGCCTCTCCAAACTTACTGGAATCTGAAAATTATCTTTCATTTCCTAAGAAGCTTACCGATATTGTGTTTCGAAGATCAGACACCCGTGACTTGAATTTCGTTCCACAGTATAAAGCTGATTCTTGTGACTTCAGCGATGGCCCCGGCTATCTCTACGAATAAGGGTATATGTAAAGAACTATGCGGCTAATGAACCAAACTCTACTGATTTACGTACATCGATAAAACCATGATGTATGAAAGACCCGAGGTTACGTATAACGAAGGAGCGGTATCCCTTATAACTCCCCACAGACTGGAAGAAAGTGGTCTGGCATAAGCTAAGACCGCCTGTGATGTACGTAAGAAAAGCGACACAGAACTATTTGAGTTTAAATACCAACTTAGATGCCAGCTCAGAGTTAAATGGTATCTAAGTCCAACTTATCCAACCCCGTTACTGGAAATGTATTCCTTCGATGTATAAAGCTCTGTTACAAATACATCTACTATTATTCATATGAATCCTTTGAGCACAGTAAGGGAATTCCAAGCTTCACACCCACTAGGGTCATGATTCAGCTTAGTCCATGATACTCTATTAGGTAGGGTCAAAAGGTTCATGTACCTCTATAGTTTCTGTGGCTTAGAGGTATAAATAGATATGCCGAAACGCTGAACGCGGTCAGTCTAGTAGAATGACAGGGGTTGTGCCTCTAGGTAAGCGCGGTTTAGCAGCAAAACTGTGCTGCTCTTTTAAGCTCGCCAATACTAGTATTTACCGCATGATATTATTTTGTTATTTGCGGATAATCCCTTATAAAATCCACATTTTTCTAGTGCGAATAGCGTAGTGTGCGCTGTAAAAGGCGCCACAGTGGATGCCGACGTCTACGTTTTGTCATTTGGGTGGGCGCCAAAGTTCCTAGCACAGTTCCTAGCACAGTTTCGTACTGTAAATATCGCGTATTTAACCAAAAGGATCCAACGGCCATGCCTACATGATAAAATAGGAAATGGCCAGCCCCTGGATATCCTTTCATGCTCAGGACATGGCCCCTCACAAGAAAGCCTGCAGCACCTGTAGCCTATATACAGGGTTGTGTACTGTGCGATTCTCTAAAAGGAAGTGTGAACAAGGTTTGTTATATCGCAATGCTATCTTAAGCACTCCAATAAAGTAGGCCGTTGCCGAATAATTAGGATAATTTACCCACACCACGGGGTTCGTTATTGCCATCTCCCAATGTGCTATAACTCCGATGCTGCAGAACGTATAGACAGATCTGATAGAACAAAAACCATAGTTTCTCATTGACGCACCATCTGGTAGGGTGCATGCAGAAAAATGCGCAAAATACTTGAAAACGTGCGTCTTGTATGTACAAGCGTCATTGTATTATGCAATACCAGCCATAACATCTCCCACCAGGTGAAGGTGGTTGTGAAACCTCACATTATTGTAATATAATTCTTAATGATATAGAGGCAAGTCAGGGTATTGAATCTTTATGGTAGATCCTATCAATGGAGAGAGATAAATGAATAGCGCAGGGCTTGGTAGCCCACCTTATTTTTAGCACATTGCCGGACAGGGCTTAGGCGGAGTTTGCTATCTGCACGTTTAGATATGTAAGATATGGTTAGCTCGGTGTCCAAGATCCGAATCGAGATTGTTCCAATGTGTACAAACGCACAAGGGGACAGAGTAACATGATGAAAGAGAGAAACTGACGCGTGCGAAAGCGAAAAAAAAGAGCAGACGAACATGGGGGACTGGTTCCACAATACTACTTGCCCTGTGAGCCTGCTCCTTTTCACGAAGAGTCACCAGGATAGTTCAGCGCGGCAAGGGTAAATGGCGCAAGCGCCGCATGGCATGGACTACGTCGGTCAAAATCGCTCATGCAAAAAAAAAAAACAGAAAACGCAATCCCTACTATATTTATGTAACATTACTGACCGAGCCCTTCCACGCATATATATAGCACTGAGTCTCACTTTTTCATTCGCTCACCTTTTATTGAAACACTAACCGTTTGACTTATCTGCCCTTGGCGTATCAACACCAGTCAAATCTCCCGCCACCAAGTATCTCACCTGATAGATAGGCTGCTGCATATTTCCGACATACAATCCCTGGCGTTGCATTACTGAGTAGCACCTGTTACTACTCGCCATCCATACACCTGCGACAACATCCTTGTGGAACACTCTGGGAAGTATAAAGTACCTAATCAGTATTTTCAGAATCTGGAAACCTAGTTGCACTCCCTGACGCACATTCGCATTTGGCATATACAACCTCCACTCAAGATGCGAAGCCTTACTTCGGTGTTGTTCACTCCCAGGGGCCGTAAGCTGTTTCGCTTGGCCCTTCTGATTAAATTCATTGTCACCATAGTGGTCTTACTCCAACTTGCATACTTGTACAAACACACACGGTCCAGCCCTGACTACACGGTACCGGGCGGTCGGCTCGACTTCGACCCCATCAGGGGGAGACCTGGCACCGTAATAACGCCGGATATAGGGTCTGTCACCAAACTCCACGAGGCAGTAGTCCGTCTCGACAAGAAACTTTCTAGTGCGTACAAAAGCATGCTTCTTGAGCACACTGGCGACGTATTGCTGAACAACAAGCGTGAAAACTGCAAGCTCTACTTCAAACAGCTCTACGCCAACAACCCCGAGTGGCGGTTTGAGACGTTTGATGACCATGAGCGCTTCGACTACGACAAGGGGACCCTCGACAAAGAGAAGTGGGTGGAGGAAAAGACGGAGGCGTTCCAGAAGGAGACGTACAAGGCCGCGCACGGCATCGAAGATGACCTGGTCCTTGCGGAGGCTGAGTCCAAGTGGCGAAAAGTTGAAGTAAGTGATGCGAAAACGGTAGAGATTTTGGATGAGTTTGAGAAAAAATACGCCGCGTTGGTGGCCACCGAGCAGCACATCGTCGACGCCGCGACAAACATGCGTGCATTTGGCACGTGCTACCTCGCGCATAACCGTTTCGACCTCGACCGTGAATCAGAGGCGGAGATGGCGGCCGCGCGTAACCATGGCCAACCAGATCCTTCTGCAAACTATACGTGTAGTGCTATGCAGGAGCGACTTTTGCCGTGGCTCTCCGGCCGCTTCCCGGTGTACTCGCGCTGGAATGGCGAGACGGTCACGGATCGGCTCCCGCGTATGACCGACTACATGGATGTCGAGCGCCAGCGCACGCGTACGAGCCGCAAAATGAACTTTCATGGACGTGGGCGTAGAAAGTGTTTCCTTTTGGAGTTCGCGCAGGCGTACAACGGTGCGGGGATCGCGATCTCGGCAAACGATGATTATGTGCACGACTTGGTGAACTTGATTCGCGTGCTTCGCGGGCTCGACAACCACCTCCCAATCCAGATCGTGCACTCGGGCGATTTGAGCTTCGAGGCACAGGCGCAGCTCATATCGGCCGCGCGTCACGAGCTTGACGTGGACGCGGTGTCTGCGCTCCGTGACCTCCGTGAAATGCACGCGGGTGTGATTGACACGACCAAGGCGCGCATCGGGCAATCGCGCTACTCGTTTGAGTTTCCACGCCAGGAGCTTTGGTTTGTGGATGTCAGCGAGTGCATCGCAGAAGACTACCGGAAATACTTCCAATACTTTTCCAATAAGTTCCTTCCGTATTTCTTTAGCTCGTTTGACGAGACGGTGCTCATGGACACGGACACCGTTCCGTTGGTGAAACCCTCAGCGTTCTTCCGGTCGCGCGCGTACGTTGCAACGCAGACTTTATTTTTCAAGGACCGTGACCTCACAATCGGCAACACGCGTGCGGACCGTATGTACTTCCGCAAGTTGTTTCCAACGGTGCTTGATGACTTGGTGTTTGGCGTACCGGCAGTGTCGGGCCACACACTTAGCAACGAGTATATGAGTGACCACAAGGAGCAGCACCATCTTATGGAGTCGGGCGTGGTTGTATACAAGAAGTCCGCGCACTTTGCGGGAGTGGTTATGGCGATTGCGATCAACTTCTGGGACCAGACGAAGGAGCGCGTATGGGGTGACAAGGAGATGTTCTGGCTCGGGTTGTCCGTCGCAGGCGACGAGAACTACCGGTTTAATGATAACCATGCGGCTGCGGTCGGGATGGTGACGCCGCAAGTGTTCCGTCCTGTAGGCACACGCGCTCGCGAGTTATGCTCGATCCAGCCGGGCCATATTTCGTCGGACGACGACCAGACGCTTCTCTGGATCAACTCCGGGTTCCAGTTCTGCAAGAAGGAGGGCCTGTTCGACGACTCGAAGGACAATAACAAGATGCGCATGTACTCAGGTGCGCGCAGCGCACTGGATACGAAAGGTGTGAACGAGGAGGCCATGCGGCGCATGTACCATAACGCTATTCGTATTGAAGCCGCCCTCATTCCACCACCGGCCGAGTTTCACATCGATAATGACTTCTCGGAGCCACCCGCGGGCTGGTTCCAAACTGAGGTGTGTGAAAAGTACTTGTGGTGTGCATACGACAACATCGGTGGGAGCAACAAACCTGAGCATATGGGTAAGTTGGTTGAGTTTTCGGCTGTGGATCGTATGCGATTCAAGTACTTGGGCGAACTCTGGACTGGGCAGGATGTGTCCCAAAGGGGTGTGAGAAACAAGCCGCGAGCGGGTGTGTAGCACTAACGAAGGCATTAAAAATTATTCATAGGTGGTAGGTATTGCCGCTCAGATGGTGCTTGTAACAGACTCCAATTAATCGATTTTCCCCATGGACTGTTCAAACTTGATGAGCGCGAAGAATATAAGGCCATTCCTTACAGATAGCGTAGCTCTACAAAGATACAAGGTCTAGTAGATACGTAAAATCCGCTAACATCCCTATAGTAACCACCTGAACTGGAAGCGTCGGACAACAATTGAATCTAGAAAGTTCTTTCGCAAAAGGTGTGAAATTGTATATAGTCTCATCGACTGCACCATCAACGGTTAACAAGCTGTGGTTTACAAGATCAGTGCTCTGCCGGTTGGATTGTCAGTGATCTTATTGCCCCCATCGGTTTCTGAGATATCACCGAAATCAGCGAAGACATAATGTCACTTGTACAACGCACGAGTGTCTTGCTTAAGCATATTTAATGACCTGCCAAGGACATAATACACCTTAGCATAGGTGTGAGTATTGTAAACGGTACTAATATTTCTGAGGTATACATTCAGAGCGAACTTGAAGCACAGCCTTGATGATGGCAGCGATCCTATCGATAAGGCTACCATTGTAGTCCCCCCTGATCACGTCATTTTCATCAGAAAATTATAGAGTCCGCCAAATGGACCTATCTAAAAGGTATGTGGGGATCGATTAGGTTTATTATTGAGATGTGACTGACAAAGTCTCTTTTGCACGCCTTGTGACCCAAAGCCCCTGACGGTAGTGGCTATGTGTTTTCTGACTCACTGTCTTTCAATCTGCTTTTCCTCAAAGACTGATTTTAAACGGCTATCTACCGGGAGCACGGATGTCAGGCCACTCATCAGGGATTCTGTAGCTACTGGAAGTTGCAATCACGGCGAGAGAAGGAATCCGAGAAATTGAACAGGTGATCGTGTTGGTAATGGTGCATGTTGGAGATATTGTGGATAGAGTAATTGTTTTACTCACGTGTACAATCGAAGAAGTAATTTTTTCCTGATTAAAATAGAAAATTGAAGATCATTACGAACGACCTTTACAGTGTCCTTCGAAAGTTGTGCGGGAAGGAGAAACCAATATCAGAGACGAGGATCAAAATTGCAAGCTAACACAAGGGAGGAGACAAGCTTTAGCTTCATGAAGTAAAGTGATCCCAGTACCTAATAAACGACTAAATGACGCAATCATATATTTTAAAACCTTGAATGCCATTCCTCCACGTGTAATAAAATGGTGGCTTAACGACTGTACGGCGCAACCATGTGTCCGAGGTGATAATTTATCACGTTGAATTTCATTCTTCTACAGAGTATACGTCGAATATCTTCCATTATCCTTAATATTTTAATACCATGTAGTTTCATATATCTCTCCTGCCCTCTAACCAATACCCTCCGTTAGCAGCGTTAAGCCTATGCTACCTATTCCGAAGATACGATAGATTGCGGATAGCGACCAAAGTGGGAACAAGGATAGCCAACAAGGGGGCTCGGATATTGAAATTTGTATGGATCCCGAAAGATCAGATCTTACTCATCTAAATTGATTTATTATCTGATTCCAAATCTCTTGGGAAATTGTTGGATAAATGTTCTTTTCTTAGAACAGGAGCCAACCAATCAACGCTTTTGCAATACGTAATACCCACGAATACGTTGATACCATCGCCTCTGAAGTTCCCAGGCCATCTCCCAAAACTGAAAGATACTTGAACACAGAAGTGATACCGAGTGCTTGTTTCGGTCAGGAAGTCTCACACTGGCGGAGCTAGCCCGAATCGCAACTTAGATAGAGCGTGTAGACGAGTATGAAGACAGACATAACTAATTAGAACATGCTCATTATAAACACTGGCTTGAAGATCGCCTGTATATCGCCACCCTGCACCTAAAAAGTGTAAAGTTCGATAATTCTGTTACTGGGGTTGTGGTATGTCTGATAATAATAGTAGTCTACTCAGACTAGGCAAGGCCCCCTTCTATATGAACATGTAACAAGAAAAACGGGAGTCCTTCCTTACGCTGGCCAAAAGTGGATGGGGTAACTAGGTTAACACGCCATGAGGCTGACGAGACGAGGGGCTAAGACACAGGTTCATCGCAGACCAATGTATTGGAGGAAGAACATTCCCGAGTACTAGAAATATTCAAAAGCATCTATGAATACCACAGGGACCCGCCAGTATTTTACACAGAGCATAGAAGTTGACAAGTGAATACCGCCATATAATTTCCACAATAGACACCAAAGATCAGTTTGCGGCTGCTGCGGCATTTGTAAGGAATGACTTACGAAGTTCAAGGCCCTAAACAATATAGGGTAAAATTCGCTTATGGTAATACTTCGAAAGAAGTTTTTTGCTCCCCTATAGCACGACACTCAACGATAAGAAACGAATAAAACGTTTGGTGACTGAATCAGTACATGCGGGTGCATAGTCCGAGTTCTTTTTGGAATATGTGAATCTTCTGGCAGGCGTTCTCCCAAAAATAGATTAGCATGTGGGTACGTTTCCTCAGACGTACCTAAAAAGAAGCACTGTAGTGGCCACTACGGTTCTAACGGCATTTAGGGCTATGCGTCCTCCCACTGTTGATGTAACCAAGCCCGCAGACAAAGCAGTGCGCAGCCTCATTACTCCTTACCAAACGATGCACTGCATGGAATTGGAAGAGCTCGATCGACATGATTCTCGGAAATAGACCAAATGTATATCCAGACAGGCTGCATGTTTTTTTTTTCGCGCCCTATGACCAGCTTTGAAGCCTTCCCCCCTCCCGGCAGTCTAGTTATGACCTCATACGTGAATGATCCGTTATTTAGCTTTAGTATTGCAAGTATCATCCCACCGGTAAGAAACCTCATGTTTCTAAACAAGCAGCAGCTATGCTGCATTAAAAGGTTAAAAGGTGTGTCACGTGAATGGAGCCGGTATGAGATTTAATATCAAAGTATACTTAGCTCGTACCAATGCACCGGATTTTCAACCAAACGTTATACTCCAAAACAAGTAATTCGGTGCCTATGGAGCTAAAAGAGGAAAGAATTTATCCCGGATAGATATATATCTTCGTGACGGTTTTTGATTTATACCGTTAAACACAGTGCTATGAATCGGAACGGCTGTTTTTCATTTTGGTGGACACCCCCCCCCCCCCCTTCTCTCTATCTCTCACACACCCTCTAGCTAATCTAACCGGACTGGCAGAGTATAACTACCCGTATATATTTGTACGTAAAATCGTAAAAATGGAAATAGCTTCTTTATACGACAGTTATGCGGCAAGAACATCAGACGGTGGGGTGATGGAATAATAGTTGATGTCTTGAGATGGTAAGCTATCTACAGGCTGTGCATCATGTATTGCGCAGAAGGCTTGTATTAATGCACGCAAAGCTCAGTTTTGCAACCAGCTGCCGTTATGCCTAACAGCCATGGTCGTGATCCGTAGTTTTGATGCAAGCCGTGCGCCATGCACAAAGGAAAGGCCTATAGGAATATTGGCGCGGAACTGGTTGTGGCTGGAGAACAGGTACCGTACAGTGGTGAAATCTAGCAAAGAGGCACTATTTCGTTCCGGAAGCCTCTGCATTTTGCGACATTCAACACCTCACAACATCGATACATGCCATATTAAACGAAGACTTATCGTTCACCTAATATGTGCTTACACGATGATGCAAGAGCGTGAAACCCAGGCAAACCTCAAGCCTCCTAATTAATTAGCAGCTTAGTGCTTGCATACGTGAAGCACATGTGGCAAATAGAAATTAAACTAGACATTAACTTAAAATCGCCTGGTATCTTTCCCATCGGTACTCTTCTATATCACATATAACCCGGCCAGTTTCTCGCCAGAATACTTCGGCCCTTTCGCCCTGTTAATAGTTTGACCATATCAACTCCTTACCCCCACCTGGCTCTGTGTCTCTTCGGTATGTGCTAACTCATAGGCTGATTATAAGCCGCCTCAATAGCTTCTGTCGCGTATCACTAGGCTCATATCTTTTCTGAAGCCAAACCCGAGGCTCCAGGATATTTGCGCCAGGTACACGTGTTTCAAATTACACGAGTATTGGTGCTTATCCGCGAACTTAACTGGTTTTAGGCTATTCTTTGCGCGCACCACGCTGCCACTGCTTGGTGGATAAGCTTTCACAGCCTTAAAGGAGTTTCTCCGTGTGGGTACCCCTTGAAACAATTCTTTGTACAGCGAAAACATTGAATCCTCGCATGATTTCATGACCAAAGTATTAGCATGGCTGTACAAACCCTACACATGTTACTGCTATTCTTAGATACGCCTGCTCGATTAGTCTAAGGAAAGCATGTGCGGCGGCCACAGTGCATGACCCAGTATAAATTGCCATGCATGTTTTATGGATGTTGTCAGGATTGGTTGGTAAGTGGACATTGAGCATGAACAACTTATATAGCATCACATTTTGCGTTTGAGAGAGAAATACATTAACCTACTGAGCTCCCCACGCCCAGAATATTGATATTTGCCGAACAAACCCCCCCGCCCAGACATCAGCATGCAAACGTGAATTTAATGCCATTGCGTCTAGATTCAATAATAGAGCACTAACACCCCTGGCGGCATGTAGATGTATGCATAGGGAGCTGCATTCGGTGACGCCTACAGTTCTATGCGCCACTTCCGAGAGGAACGCTTCAATAACAGTTACCAAAGTTTAATTCCACTAAAACCACCGAAAGGGGCGGGCTGTGACTTTTGTATAAAATACGCTAGGTCCCAAAAACGTAAGGATTGCGGACCGTTCGGATTCAAACCTCATTCTCTCTACACTCCCGCATTAGCTTTGGATCAGTTTTTGATCTAACATCCATATGAAGCAATTTGCGTTATCCAAGCGTTTCTCGCTGAAACTGGTGTACTTCAAGCTTATTGTTGCCTTGATATTGCTCTACCAGGGCCATTTTCTATACACACGGTTCTCCGAGGCTCACGGCGGAGACCAG